CAACGCTGTTTTTTTTTTATTTCTCCAAAGGCTGACAATTTGAAGATGGGATGTTTTTGCCAAACAAATATATGCAGAAATATGCACAGAAATACCAACTTATACTGCATGGTGATTTATATCATGATTATATTTCTTCTTTTATCTGTTGGGATTGAATGCAGCATTCATCCTATAAAGTTAAGACCAGTCCAGCACCACTTTTAGCATTTAATTATAGTGAGCTGAATCCAAGGTCTTGGTATTGTGCCAGAGGCGGCACAAATCATAAACCAACTATAAGTTATCTTTTGTAGAAGGCTGTTAGTAGTTTTCTACTGTAAATAAAAAACTGCACATCTTCTTCATAACACAGGGGTATAGTAGTAATTCAAACTGTCTACTTGCAATGAACTAACTGGCAATGTGACCAAAACAGCAAGTTAGACTGTGCAGGAGTTTGCATTTCCATTTTTAAGTACTTTAAATTGTGACTTTGAACATAAATCTTGTTTTTGTGTCATTTAAAAATTAAAGGCAGGGTTGGTTATCTTCTCCAGATACATTTTTTAAGATTTTGGTTGAAATTGTCTTTAGGTCCTGACAGACATTAATAATTCATGTGCTCTGAAAAAGGAACAAAGAAAATCCCCCATCTGTAGCATGTTGTAATCATGTGAAAGCTTCGACCTATGTCTGAAACGAGGAACCAATCTGATGAACCAATCACGCCTCTCTTTCTCCCTGCACGTTGTCTACCTCTTGCGTGCGCTAACCCACACTCATAGCACGTCACTGATGACAGAGTTTATACTGTGAGTTTACTTACCACTGAATGAGACATGAGACGACGTAGTTTCTACACAATGCAAGCAATGAGATGAGGTCTGCTTCTGGAACAACGGCGCTCATGGGTTAAGCTAGGGGAGTCGCTTTAAGGAAGCACAGAGGGGAGGGGGGTGGATGTAGACGGAGCACAGAGGGAATGCTACTTTCAAAATCATGCTAGTTTTCGAAAATGACTAACCCTGCCTTTAAGATAACACTGTCATTATCTCTTGTTATAAAGTAGATGTTATTGGTGAGGTTAGAAAGGGTAGATAATTGATATTTATTTGTGTGTGTTTGTGCGCACATCACACTTTAGGCCACCCCTGCATGAGTCGGTGCCTCAGTGGGGTCACCCCTGAGGGGCAGGTCTGGACATGGCCCTGCTGCCACCTGTTGTTCTTATAAGGATGTGAGGTTATAATGTCAGCTGTGGAATATGACTACTGATGACATTTAATAAATGAAAAATGTGTTTTTACAGAACTATAATCTTTTCCTTCTCAGTTGTGTTGCACAAGTTGTAAATCCAAACACCTTAATGTCATAGTGACTTTACATAGACTGCTACAGGGTCTGTGTGATGATATAAGGAAGTTATCCATAGACCCTCCAGGGTCTAATTTAGGCTTTTGCAGTTTTGTCCTCTGGTTTGTTTTGTTCTTGTCTTCAGTAATTCAGAAATCAAAATTAGCCATTAAGAATCCCTCCTGACTCATGGTGATATATCCAAGTTTAAACATTGAATTTAATATGTTTGCATATTGTTATGACTAACTCTGGTCTGTGTAAGGTGTAAACTACAGCAGCTCATTACCTAACCCCCCCTCTTCCTCTGGAGCCTGTTAGTTGACCGTGATGAGCTCCCAGAGTCCCCCACTCCTTTGACTGACATATCTGACTGTGTGTGAGCCTGCTATTTCCAGAGTGGCATACTATTCCACATATTAAAGGATCAAAAATCCCATAACTAGCTCCCATGAATGCGTAATGACTGTAGCAGCGGGATAGGAGCTGAAATGACATTAGCATACCAACCCCCTCATGCAGGCCCGCTCCATTCGACAGGGTTGTGTATTGCACGCTTGATTCTCCTTACAAGTTGAGCTCTGGGGGGAAAAGCGCCATGACAAACCTCTAGCCATTCATGGGACCAGTGGTTCACCAGCTGTTTCCAGTGTAACCATTAACATGAAATCCCCACAGAGAGAGCAGAGGCTCCGCTGGGCCTAAATATGTTGGTGTTAGGTGTTGTTTGGGGGCTGCTGACTGTGTGGATAAAACCGTGACCAGCCATATGTCCCAACCACCACCAGCTCAGTCCTTCCCACTCTGGCTTACATGATGGGTTGGCCGTAATAAAATGGCTGAGTGGAGAAACTGAAGAGATGGAGGAGGGGTACGAATGGTAGGAGAGGATCGGTGATGGAGGAGCATAAAAATAGAAAAATGGTAAGCAGATGAATAGGATGAGGGATGATTCGAAGAGAGTTTTTTCCCCGAGTAGATCATCACTGCTTGTAACCTATAAATGTATTCAACCGTTTCCCACAGCAACTCAGTTTGTAGTACAGTACAGCGTGGAACATTGTGTTCTATGGAGCATATCATTGGCCTGCGGGAATCAAAACGGAGCGGGAGAGCGAAGATGCAAGCTCACTTTAGCTACATTACATCATGTGTGAGTGGCTAACCAGCAGTGACAGGGCCCCACCGATGAACTAATAGATGTCACAGGACCTCAAACTGGAACAGAAAGAAGAAAGTCAGAGGCGGGATCATAAGTACAGTAGCACCTAGTTCCCAGGACTGTCGGGGGGGGTGTCAGATTCAGGGTTTATTTCTAAAGACTGATCAACAACAAACTCAAGTTCCCTTTCTTTCTGTTTCTCTGACCATGCTGTAGCTGACTGTAGCTTTGATGAAATATTACAATCAAAGAGGAGTCAGTAATGTGGAAGGTATCTCCAGTGATAAAAAGATGAAGCCCTTAAGTGCTTATATAGCTGTGAAGTCACAACATCCTGCTAACAACAGCTGTGTCAATCCAAGAGCTCTGTGCTGACTGCTTCCTTTCTTTATGGCTTTAGGTGTGTGCAGGGTTTGTTCCAACTCTCTACTCGGACTAAGGTGGAGTTTCATTTGTGTTTGTCATTGCCTATTTTTAAAAAATATGATATACTTATACTCAAAAACATTGAATGATATTTTATTAATTTTGAACTGCTCCTCTTCAGTTCAAGAGTTGAGCTGATGAAGTCTTTGTGCATGAGGGTTTTGTTTGAACCTGTATATTAGAGCTGGGCAATTAATGGAGATTTTGGCTTCCAACGATGAATGAATAAAAGATCATTGAGATTAAGCAATTACTGTTCAGCAATGCCGCACTCATTTTGATCACAGGTTTTGTCCTATGTGGTAAATAATTCTGAAAAACACAGTTAGTTCATTTGTATCTATTTATTCTTATTCTTATAATATATTAACATTTTTTAAATTTATTTTAAGAATTCAAAGTGTTTAAGTTTGATAAATAAATATGATTCAGATGTTGTGAAAATCAACGAGTAATCATATTTAATATTTATGATCTTATCATACCTCACACCGCACGACGACTGCTTGTGTTTTTGTGCTCGTAGTAAAGCGGTGTTCAGTGGAACGTGATGACTCCATTTGTTCAGAGATTACACAATCGACTGGTTGATTGATCTCAGTTATGACAAGCATGTAAGTCACCTTAATTGATCCTCTCTGAGAACTTGTGAAGACTCACGTTGAGGATTCTGCATGTGAACATAAACCCTTTTCATCATCCCCCGATCACCCCTGATCAGGTGATAGCAGCCGTTCTTATCCTTTTTACATGAAGACATCAAATGTGGGTGGCAGGCAAACATGCTGTCAGGAGAAGGATACATACTGATGATGTGGGGGCGCAGGTTACCATGAACCATTATCTGAAAGCAGTATAAATAGATAACATTTTGAGAAGATCAGGTCAAAATCCTGCAATCACAGATTAACTGAGATGAAGTAGTTTTGAATTCTGAGCTGGAAAATGTTCCAAAGAAGGCGTCAGAAATCGGAGATATCTCAGAGTCGCTGGTTCATGTTCTACATACCAAACTCTGTAACATGTGGCCTAATTAACTCAACAATATTTCTCTAAGGTATCACGACAAATAGACAGTGTTTGATATTCCTAACACACTTTGTTCAACAAAAAATCACTTAGCAGTAGATAGTGTGTTTGTCCTTCACTTCATCCAATTTTACAGAAGCAGACCAAACTGTAAACCACCAGTGACACGTCCTCTTGAATTCCCCTCACTCCAAACACAGAGACAAATTGCCCCCTGCCTGTCCTCCCCCCCTTCCCCTCCCTTCCCCCCTCCCTGTCCTTGTCTGTCATATGTCTTCGGGGGAGGGTGGATAGCATGTGTCTGTCTGCACAGGGTGTGGCTGGAGGCTTTTTCTGTACGCACACACCAGCATAGAGGTGTATGCAAATCCATGCAGTAACATCTAATCACGGGCTCCTGGACACACAGATATGTATTACACACACACACACACACACACACACACACACACACACACACACACACACACACACACACACACACACACACACACACACACTCTCACTCACTCTGCAGATCATTTGCATATTAACAACATGCCCCACAGATGCTTCCTGCACTCAAAGCGCCTCTTGGCTTAGTTTCTAAGAGTAAGACCATCATTGTGCTGTATGTGGGTGTGTTAGCATGTAAATAATATACTCCCGTTGGTACTTTGGCTGATGTGTTTGTGTGTGTATGCACGTTACCACAGTGTGTCAGTCAGTCACAGCGTGGTCCTGCCTGTTACACAAAGGCCTCATGGGAATGGGGGGGTCGTGGGGGTTGCCCTGCTTGTTGTAGTCCTCCTATCTGGAGGTTGGAGGGAAGAAGAGAGGGGGGAGAGAGAAGACAGCGGAAGGGGGGAGTTTAAAATCATGGGGGTCAAGGGGATTATTAGGAAAGAGGCCAGAGTTGTTTTTATGGATTCATCTCCAGAAACGGTCAGAGACATGCTCCACTGATCTCTTTGTGCCACTCTTTGGCCCTTGTTGTGGACTCAGAGTTCCCGTGGTGTTCTCGCCTTAATATCACCTGAAATGTCTTTCTCTCTGTCTCCTCCTGCAGCCTTTCCATCCCATGGTGAACCTGCAGTGCTCCCCTGAGCTCAGGATGTTCCTGTGCGCCCTCTACGCCCCGGTGTGTACAGAATACGGCCGGATGACTCTGCCATGCCGCCGCCTCTGTCTGCAGGCCAAGAGCGACTGCTACACACTAATGGACATGTTTGGTGTCAGCTGGCCTCAGGAGATGGACTGCAACAGGTTGGGACAACAGCAATACTTGTTTCCCTCCTGGATTCTGTTGACCTTCTGCTCCATCAGTGATTGAAGCTCCTCCTCTGTGAGAGCAGTGACAGTGCAGCAGCAGACACACAAGCTCGTTGAAAACTTGAAAAATATAGATGCTTAGTTGAACATGACCTCAGATCTGGAGAACGGGTTTATAACATGTATCTTGAACTTTCATTGTACTGTTGTTAAAACAGTTCTACAGACAGATAATTAAATCAGAGCTGATTAAAAAACTTCTGCAGCAACAACACAACACAAAGTCTCCACATTCAACGTAGAATTAATTTAACATGATGCAACAAATGAAACTCTGCAGATAAAGAGTAAGTATATAAGGGAACAATCGGTCTTAAAGGGTTCAAACTTGACTGATTACAAAACCAAAATACACCTGGCTGACAGATAACATAACAACCAAACACATAACTTACCCATTAAGTACAAACCAACAGGATTGTACATGAACTTGGCTTTACAATGAATAGTTCAAAAGACAAAGTCAAAAGTGAAGTTATCTTAAGTACATAGAGATGCTGGTTAGGAGCAGTTGTTTGGAAAAGTTTCCTCTCAAACAGCTCTTTATTTCATTGAACTTCTTCATTAACACTGAGTGTCTTTTATTCAAGTTTCAAACTAAGTATGATGTCAATGTTTTTGTGTTTTATAAAGCTTTATTCTGAGTCTTCCTCGGGGCTTAGTGGTCTTCAGATTCCTACTGAGTAATTTATCGTATCCCCTTCTCCTCGTTTCCTGACGTCTTTCTACTTTTTCTCTATTTGATGAGAGAAAAATACCCCAAGAATATTCCCAAAAGATGTTTTCATCAGCCTTACAACGCAGTGAAATGTAACTTTAAAAGTAAAGTCAGTACATGCTCTCAGGGATAGGTAGCTCAGTCAGCTCATCAAGTCTGTGCAGGTTAGATCTGTTCTTTAATACTGTTGATCTGTGATCAGTGGCTGCCTGGAAGGGAGAAAGCTTCATCAATCTTAATGATTATAAGGAATGCTTTTGAAGCTGTTTGGCAGCGATATAATGACGTTGTTAAAGGTTTGACAGCTGAAATAACCCTGAGCTCTTCCTCTCTTCACCCAGGTTCCCGGACTGTGACGAGCCCTACCCCCGTCCTGTAGACCTGCTGTCCAGCTCAGACACTACGGAGTCCCCCGTTTCTGTCCAGCGGGACTACGGCTTTTGGTGCCCAAGAGAGCTCAAAATCGACCCTGAGCTGGGTTATTCCTTCATGGGGGTCCGCGACTGCTCCCCGCCCTGTCCCAACATGTACTTCACCCGTGAAGAGCTGGCGTTTGCCCGCTACTTTATTGGGGTGGTCTCCATCGTCTGTCTGTCTGCCACCCTCTTCACCTTCCTCACTTTCCTCATTGACGTGTCCCGCTTCCGCTACCCGGAGCGTCCAATCATATTCTACGCTGTGTGCTACATGATGGTGTCCCTGGTGTTCTTCCTGGGCTTTCTGTTGGAGGACAGAGTTTCTTGTAACGCAGCAAGTCCTGGAAGGTTCAGGGCTTCAACTGTGACACAAGGTTCCCATAACAAGGTCAGACACTCTTTCTATGGCTGCGTTTGTTTTTTGTTGTTGTGTTTTGACTCTCTACATATTGATCCTCTATCTGTGTACCCACTCTCCATCTTAGGCCTGCACGCTCCTCTTCATGGTGCTGTATTTCTTCACGCTGGCCGGCAGCGTCTGGTGGGTCATTCTGACCATCACCTGGTTCCTGGCTGCTGTCCCCAAGTGGGGCAGTGAGGCGATAGAGAAGAAGGCCCTCCTGTTCCACGCCTGTGCCTGGGGCATCCCCGGTGTCCTCACCGTCAGCCTCCTCGCCATGAACAAGATCGAGGGAGACAGCGTCAGCGGCGTTTGCTTTGTGGGGCTTTACAATGTGACGGCCCTGCGATGGTTCCTGCTGGCTCCACTGGGACTCGATGTCGTGGTGAGAAAAATATTACAGAACATGAGAAATAACAACGAAAAAAACAAACAATGTTCAATATCATTAATATCGAGGCCTCACAACTCCAACTGAAACTTTGTCTCATGGTAAAAACTGTTATAATTATGTTTCCAAAATCAACTTTTTCTGTGAGAGTGTATCCAAACAAATTAAAATAATAAATCAGTGCCAACAGATACTTCATTATGTTAAGTGTTTACCTTCTGAGCGGTTATTTGAGACCATGGTAACCTGTAACATATCTTTCTATGGTTTTATCCTAGGTCGGTGTGGCGCTTCTGCTGGCAGGCATTGCAGCACTAAACCGAGTCCGCATGGAGATTCCCCTGGAAAAGGAGAACCAGGAGAAACTCGTAAAGTTCATGATCCGCATCGCTGTGTTCTCAGTGCTCTATCTGGTCCCTCTGCTGACTGTCCTGGGCTGCTACCTTTACGAGAGCAGCTACAGAGCCATCTGGGAGACCACCTGGGTCCAGGAGAAGTGTAGAGATTACCACATCCCCTGCCCTTACCAGGTAATACATGATCTGACTGTGAAGTGCTAAAAGAGGTGTGCATGTGTTGTTGACAAAGCACGACAATATCTGCAGCCTATGATTGTCTCGACTAATGCTTACCAGTGTGATGTGATAAATCTACATCCAATGTTTGTAAATGTTTTACTTGCAAATTGAAAATGCATGCTTTTGTGTCTTTGTTATGGGCTAATAATAGCAATGCTTGGCTTAGCTGTCACCTGGTATTGTCTTCAGATCACCTTTATCTTAAAAACAAAAGCACATAGTGGATGTCGGACAAAGTTAATCTCTCTGCTGTTTGAAAAAGGCAGAGAAATAATTTGCAGCTCATACATGCAGAAAGTGTAACTACATCAAGAATCTACCTCTAGCATGATGTAGTCCTTAAACCCTCATAGGAAATTAGTGTATATGTTCATATTGTAGGTCAAACTTTTGAGTTTCCTCATAAAAACATCACATCCCTCAATATGATTTCACATGAAATCTGTTGAATGTTCTGATAAAAACTGACATATGTCTGAATTTATTCACTGACATTCATCACAGTTTGTAAACATGAAATGCACAACTGGGACTTAAGCAAGGAAGCTAGGAGACAGAGCAGGAGGTAACAGCTGGGAGGAGGCTGATACCTGCCAGATGTGTTTACATTAGAGAGCAGGACACCCTGTGAGATGTGTGTCCAGACTGGATCCATTTTAACTGAATGTACTCACACTCACTCTCACAGTCGTCATTAATGAGACAATAATTCCCATACAACTCGTCTTCAGTAGCTCTGCAACAGCCTCCAGCATCAGTACACTTAGTGTGTCTCATGTGATAGAGCTGTTAATAATTCAAAGATCTTTCTCCCTCTGCTGTTCTCTGCTCCTCATAACCAGCTCCTCCCAATGTGCCTTTGTACATCCACCTTTACCTTGCATGTTCAAATGTGAACAGAGAGTGTTGCAGCTGTGCAGCATTCAGTAATTTGTAGAACTAACAGCCACTCTTATTGTTATTATTATGACTCTTGTTAATTGCTTCATTTGGACCTCGGCCACTTTGACTGAACTGCTCCTGTTTACACGATTTGTAAAAGTCATGGTGACATTTAGTTTAAATTCTGTGCTGCAGCAGGCACAGCTGAACTAATTGAATCTGTAGATATGACCTGAAACAGTCTGGAACCTGAACATTTCAGAAATTATTGAAATGCCTGTTTTGATGATGCAGCTGAGAGAAGAGATGACTGAGAATTAAGAGCATTGAGTAAGATCTCGGTTGTGCTCTTAATCTGCCCTGTCAACAATGCTTTGTTTAAGAGAGCAGTGAATTAATCCTGCGTGTGTATCTGTGTGTGTGTGTGTGTGTGTGTGTGTGTGTGTGTGTGTGTGTGTGTGTGTGTGTGTGTGTGTGTGTGTGTGTATCTGTGTGTGTGTGTGTTGGTCTATCTGCTGCAGAGTATGGGTCAGTGGGGTCAAGCTGCACAGCATCATAGTTACAGCAGATCTGAAAACAAGCTGCATGTGCTGCACAGCTGAGCTCTAACTGCTGTCAAACACAAAACAACAAAAGCAAATCACACAAAGACTCTACTTTCCATCCTTCCCCCAACATCACTGTGTCCATAAAAAAGAGCGTACACATAGTGTGCACTCAAACACACACTGAACCCGAGCTATGTGTTGGTGCACAATATTGACTTTAAGTGCCGACTATATTTATCTTAAAAGCTTTCCCTGAGGCTCAGACCTCATCTCTGCTGAACAGCTACTGAGTGATGCTGGACCCTTCATCTCCACAGTATACAAAGAACACACACACACACACACACACACACACACACAGTGACATTGGTGACTAAAGCCAAAAGAGAGTACTCATAGAGGCAGGAGATGGACTGTGATTTCATTCTTAGAGATAGTTAGGCTTTAAAAAAAACTCCATGCAGCTATTCAGAGTTTGTCATGGCAGCTTGAAGCTGCTGTGTGGAAGCAGCAGAACTTCTGACACAGGATTCAGTAATGAGGATGTTGGCTGAAGTCATTCAGTCTCTCATCTGGAGTGTATCTGCGGATGGATGAGCCTCAGGGTCCGCCTGGCCCACTCATAATGAGGCCATCATGACTGCATCTGTGTGTGAGTGCACGAGTGCACGCATGTGTGTGTGAGTGCACGCTCGTGTGTGTGTGTGTGTGTGTGTGTGTGTGTGTGTGTGTGTGTGTGTGTGTGTGTGTGAGAGAGAGAGGGAGAAGCAGAAGAGAGTGTAAGATGTGCTTCTGTGGTTCAGTGCGTGCCAGCTGTAGAGTTGTTGCTATGGCAGAGAGCAGCAGTGCGGTGACTCTGCACAGCGTCGTGCTGCTCTGTTGTCTCCTAAACATCAGCAGGATGTAATGACCTCACTCTAACTCACTGATGAAAACAACATCGAAATGAAGATTTGTTAGTTTCACATTGTTTTGTGTACTTAATGGCTAGACATTATTCTTTTTTTTATCAGCACTGAAAAAATAAAGTTCAGGGGGGCGCCGGAAGTCTAGTGGTTAATGTGCATGCCCCATGTACAGAGGCTGTAATCCTCCAAGCGGGAAGCCGGGTTCAAGTCCAACCTGTGACTTCTTTTCTGCATGTCACCCCCCCTCCCCAATTTCTGTGTCTATCCACCGTCCTATCTCCAAATAAAGGCATACAAACACATAAATAAACCATAATAAAAACATTTATTTTAATGTTCATCTTAAATTCTCTGATTAAAACAAACATGAGTAAACAAAATACCATTCATCAAGTTCTCCTCCACATTCTTTAAAATAAAACTTCAGGATTAACAATCTCTGTTAATGTCCAAGTGAAGGATTATGCTGTTCTAATGACCTTCTTTTTAATGACACAGAGAGACCCGTATAAGAGAATAAAAATAACCTCGATAAAGAGAAGAATCTGAATGTCGTCGCTCTTTTCAAGCAGATGAATATCATGAAGAGAAATCAGCAGCTATGTCACAGACTGATGACCATGTGTTCTTCTGATGTGCTGTTGATGCCTGAAGCAAAGTTGTCACTGATCTTATTGAGTCAACACACACACAGAGACGCACAGTGTCAACATGCATGAACATTTTAATGAGTTCATTGATGCTGAAGTTTACATGAGTCACGTGCATCACAGTGTAAAGCTGTGCTGGGCAGCTTGCACTCTGTCTACTGTTTGTTCTACATTTTACATATGATGTGCTTACAAGTAAAAAAGAGTTCATATTAAGTGTGTATCATTAAATCATTTGTCTGGTGTGTGTGTGTGTGTGTGTTGTCTTGCAGGTGGAGCATACCAGCCGGCCTGACCTGGTCTTGTTCCTGATAAAGTACCTGATGATGTTGATCGCTGGGATCCCCTCTGTGTTCTGGGTGGGCAGCAAGAAGACGTGCTTCGAGTGGGCAAGTTTCTTCCACGGCAAGAGACGCAAAGAGTATGTACTTCACACACACACACGCTGATGCTGTTCCATATCACACACTGTTTGGAAATAACCAGTCAGTTTAATTATCAAGACAACACATCATGTCCATGTCTTTTTGTAAAGACGTGTAAAGGCAGAATCTATAGACAGCTTTATAACATCCTCTAACAAGTCTGTTAAACAAAATCACCCTCAAGTTGTCAGACAGATCTGTCCACTCTGTCTTTTCTACATACTGCATGATACATTTATTCATCCTGTGTGATTCTGACACATTTGACAGAAGTTAAAGATTTTGCAAGATTTTTTCTCTGCACTCACCCCCCTCCCATCCAAAAACTCAGAGCATTAACCCCCTCTCCCACCGCCTGCTCCACACACTCTTCCATCCTCTACTATCACTCCAACCACCCTACCACCTTCCCTCTCTCCCTCCCCTCCCTCCTGCGTCTCTCCCTGCCCTCTCTACCTCCACCCCACTCCTCCCTCTCCTGCTCCTCTGCTCCGTGCTCCTCCCTCCCCCGCTGCAGCAGGATGGTCAACGAGAGCAGACAGGTGCTGCAGGAGCCCGACTTCGCCCAGCTGCTCCTCAGGGACCCCAACACACCCATCGTGAGGAAGTCACGGGGCACGTCAACCCAGGGAACCTCCACTCATGCCTCATCCACCCACCTGGCCATGTTGGATGAACCGCCCAGCGGCAGCACCAGCCGGGCCGGCTCAGTGCGCAGCGCACGCTCCAAGATGAGCAGTTACCATGGCAGCCTGCACCGCTCTCGAGATGGAAGGTGGGTCTTTGAACTTTCTTCTGTCATTTTGCTCCACGGCAAATCTTCAGGAAGTCCTGGCCTTGACACCACTGTTCTTTTCTCTTCCAGGTACACAGCGTCCAGTTTCAGAGCCTTAGACGACCGGCTGCCCTATGGTAGCATGCCTCGCCTCAACGACCAATCACAGTCCAGACACTGCAGCACCAATCGCCTGGACAGCCTATCACGGCACGGCTCCACCCAGCGACTGGAGACTCAATCCCGGCACAGCAGCGTCAGAGACCTCAGCAGCACCACCCAAGCTGTTCTGGGTGGCCCGGGAAATGGGATTCACAGGGTGCTGGAGGAGGATGGAGCTACAGCCTGAACATGAAACGAACTGTTATCTAACTTCTCCTTTCAAGGACACTTCTGAGGATGTGACTGAAGAGAAGGAATGTGAGAGGATGGACAGAATGCAGAGTAGCTAACACTGTGTGTGGTTTATCCACTCCTGCTGAGTTTGGGAGCTAAATGAAGCTCCTGTTTACTGAAGATGAGAGACGGGCTACATCCAGACAAATGAAGTCGCAACGTTTGGATTGGTGCCTTAAAATGTTGTCTCAGCTTTATACAACCGACTAGCTGATCCCAAAAACTCAAACTCAAACTGAATTTGGTCCAGTTTACAATTCTACGATAGATTTTGTTGAACTGACTGACCTGCGAATAGACAGCACTGAAATGATGACACGGCTTCACTGTATGACCTACGTTACCAAGGCCCAAAAAATGTGACCAACAAGGAGAGACTGCACTGCTGTTTACTTGTGCTGTATTGTTTGTATAAAGGACTGTGACCAGGATGTGAATGATGGACGTTGGACGTTACTATCCCCTTTCTTCTCAGCACTGTGGAGAGTGGAAGCAGGGTCATTTTTTATCTGCTACATTTAAAAATGTTTTGTACTTCTTCAACTTCTAACTCCTCCTTTGATTTTCAAAATGTTTAAAGTACTGGTAATTTAAAATGCCTAAAACCTGTATTTATAAATACACACAAAGTAAAAGTCAAGATGAAAGATCAGCTGGCGGTACTCTGTTCCTCTTCAAACACTGTGTATGACTGAATAATACAAACAAAGCTTCTCCACTGCTTCAGTGTGCTCGTGTGTTATAAGAGGAACATGTTGGGAATGTGGTCTGCCTGAATGAAAGGGCTGAAATACAGGAAAAACAGCTGAATCCAAACTCCTGCCTTACGACTGTGTTCAGACGGGAAGCTTAGCGAGTATCACAGGCTCCATGATTTCTGTCAGACATGAGGGAAGAGTACTTTGACAAGAAAGACAAGGAGAACTTACAAAAGGGAACAATACATGGAGCTCTGAGTTCAGTCAGGCCGATATGAACACACTCACACATACTCTCTGTATGGGGGTAAGCCAACATACAGCTCATGCTCAATGGATTTGAGCTTGTTTTGCGCTTTTCTAGTCTTCTGACACTCAACCCTCATGACACACCTACACATTCACATTTAAACACTGATCACAGAGGCTTCTATGTAGTGACCATCAGAAGTAAATAATCCCATTCATACACATTCATATGCCACTGACAAAGCAGCAGGAGCAACTTGGGGTTAAGACATCAGCTGAAGGAGCTGGGGGATCGAACCCCCAACCTTCCAGTTTAGACGACCGACTCTACCAACTGAGCCACAGCCGGCCCCGTACATGTACAGGTAGAAGATTGGCTGTTTTAGGGAAATAAACGTTGCAGAGGTGAAACTCAGATGCTTCTCTTTCTGTCTGAACACACATGAAGTGTAGATAGATGATAGCCACCTTAAACGAGTCCTATCCGGAGTAGTGTGTCTGTTAAAAATGTGTCCTTAACTTGTATAGCTTCTATAAAATGTTAGAGCAACATTTCCTCTAGTGGACAGGAACTTGTGTACAGATGTAAAAAAACTGAACTTTCTGTTGATTTGTAATAAAGTTTTTTTTAAAGAATGGACCACACACACACACACTTTGTATTTGTAACAGCCCTCCGCTTTATTGAAATACATCGGAGTCAGGTTAATATAATGAGTTCTCCACATAAGTGTGGCAGCCAGTTCCATACATTATTTCATGTTTTGACCTTACACCTTAAATATTTTTTTGTGCAAAAAAGAATCTACATCACCTGTAGTGGGTTATCCTCAGTAAAACGCCCAAACCGTTCGAAAAGGAGCAAGTAAAACAACAAACCGAAAAAAAACAAAAATGATTACATCTATAACATGCAAAACTGTACAAATTATTACAAAGCAATCCTAGAAAAAAAAAACAAAGAAGTGTAATATGATATGAAAGAGCAAATTAATATAGAAGGTACTGTAGATAAGACCTCACTGAAATGCAAAGGCGTTTGAATGTTTTTGAGATTCTCTTCCTCTTAAATGTTACCGCTGTGGCACCTCAGCCGTCAAAGCACAGCTCAGCCTTCACCCCGAAAACATCTTTTATCCTCACAACCATTTCTTCTTCTGCTGCTGCTGTCTCCACCCGGCTTACATCTACTGTACACTCACTACAGCCCGACTCATCTGTCCCTCACTCACTCCATCCATCAAACAAATACGCCTCTAACACACTATCACCAACTAAAGGAAATGATTCATTGGTTCTGACGTTTCCTGAGTTTCTCTTCCCTCTCCTTAAAACTGGAATATCTGGGATCAGCTCTTCTGTACAATATTGGCCTATAATAAAACACCTGGCTAAGACAGACCCCTCCCCTCCCCTCCCTCACCTTATACATTCTACAGATAAACTCCAGCAGGATCTCGCAAGCTTAAAAAGATTGAAAGAGGTGGTTGTTTGGAGTTAAACCATGTGGTAGCACTGTGGTGCTCCAACCCTCTCCCTCTCTCTTCATATAAAATGGAATACTAAAAAAAAAATACTTGGAATGGGCCGTTAAAGGTTACTTGGCGGTATTTCAAAAGGGGGGACGGGCAGGAACGATAACCAATGTTCTTGTTCTTTTGTTTCCCTTTCAGACAAATAGACGAAATCAGCGGGAGACTCTTCCCTAAAGACCGGTAGAAAGAGTACAGGATGTGTTCACTTGTTACAGAGAATAATACCACAGTGTCAGAACAGTCTTCAGCTCTGTGCAAATTGTTCCCTTACAGTTTGACCCCGGTCCGCCCTGCCAAGGACTCCCGGAGATAAATGCTTATTGATCTGTTTGTAAACTGAGCTCAAAACGAACAGAGGTATCTGTTTTTCTTTTTGGCTGTAAATGTTCTGCTCTGCAGCCAGAAGCTGCCAAACTGGAAAGTTTTCACACTGCCAAATCAAAAACCTCCTAAAGGGGGGGGGGTTAGACACCCGGCCCTTTTCATTATAAAGACAACAAGGGGTCACACTGATTATTATTATTTTTTTTTTTACATGCTATTCATTAAAACAAACGGAAAACCAAGTGCTGACTTTCTGACAGCTTTTAAGTGTTTACATTCTCAATATAGTGTTGTTTTGTTTAAACAAGAGCTTTTACAAATATCACTGAAATAAACCAAAATGCTTTCAGAATTTCTAACGGCTGTCAAAAAGAATTAAATGAAGTCCCTAAGTGTCCCTCTTTATTCTTACTTTTTGGTTAAATCCAGCTCAGTGGAAGGACTCCTCTTTTCATCCGGGTACCACAGCCAGTTATCACACAGGTTAAATGTGGATTAAATGATCAGTGCTGCGTCCCCTCCGACAGTCAGACGAGGAGCAGGACAAGAAGGCATCTGCTGCAGTACAACACTATCTCAATATGTGTGTTAAGTAGATAATGTGTGTGACGTGTTTCCTCTACAGAACGGGCAGAAGTGTCGATCCATACACGAGTTCTGTTCACTCGCGCAAACAGAGTGGGAGGAAAATAAAAGCAAAACCACACAATGAGTGTCACACATAAAATATAAAACAAACAAATCTAAAACCAATCGGTAAAAAAAACAAAAAAAAATGGAAAGTGGTTTAAAATGGCTTTTTGTGTGAATACAACCCCAAATCACTCAAAACAAAGGAAAACTCAATTCAAAGAGGATTTTTTCTTTCCCGTGTAGTTCTCTAAAGTCTTTTACGTATCATATATTACTCTCTACTTTGAACCTATGTACATTATTGTGATGGCGACCTGTGAGTCTGTCAGTTTGGTTGTAGAGCGAAGTGGAACGTGGTACACTCTGACGTCACTCGCAGTGGACCAATGAGGAAGAGAGTAGCACAGAGGAGCTGTGGTGATGTCATTTAGATTGCTGGCTGTAGCTGATGGTCAAATTAAAACAGATTATAAAGTCACTGCACTTAGTATCATGAGCAAAAAAAAAACAAAAAAAACAGAAAATAAAATCATAACTTTTCTTTCTCTCACGTTTTTTTTTTTTTTCTATTTTCAAATTTTGAAGCACCCAAAGAGAAACGACTGAGGGAAGTGAGGAGGGGGGTTTAAACTCCACCCGCTTGATTCAGGCTATGAAGCGGACCTCCCTTTCCTTGTCTTAGAATGATAAATAAATTAAAATATTGTCCCCTAAAACCCAAAGGGTCCTATGTACAAGTACAAATCTTTTTCTCTCAACAATAACCCTCTTTTCTTTCGTTGCATTGTGAGGTGTTCGAGTCTCTGAATTGATCTTTCCACGGGGTCTTGGACAGAAGTGTGTCGGGGAAGCTTGATGCTTCTGCCGACAGCAAAAATGGGAGCTTTTTTAAATTCCTATATCAGATGCCCTTACTGAAAACATATGCATAAACACACGCTGGCAGGCACATACAGCCTCACTCAAACACACACACACACACACACACTTGCACCCTCAAACATCAGCCCCCACATGTACACTTTCACTTATTCTTGATAACATTTCCCTCAGGATTCCCCTAGACGACAGACTGTTTTTAGAGTTTCTGCCCCGTCTTGGAAGTACGATGAGACAAATCGAGGCTGTAAAGTGGGACAAATGTTCCTCAGGAGGTGCAGTTCTCTGGGCAGTGATGGGGGGGGGGGGGCAGGGGTAAGGGGGTTCAGAGAGCATGGAGGAGGCGGTGGTGGGGGAGGGAGAGGGGGTTTGGAGTCCTGTGCTGTCGATCAGTGGTTGGGTGGGTGGGGTTGGTATGGGCAAGAGGCTGGCAGAGGCTCATGTGTCCCAGCCCATCCGGTCTGTGCTCTCCAGGGACAGGGACTTTGTCTTGTGAGGGGAGGCCGGGCTGGGAGGACTGCTGAAGGTGGAGCTGTTGGAGGCTGTTGAGTGACGAGGGGAGTCCGAGTCCTGGAGGAGGAGGGGAGAGGGAAAGAAAGAGAATTAGATGATGTAGGAAACATCTTATTAGAGTATTTGTGATTCAGTGAGGAGAGCTGAGACTAACTCTGTGTCTACATTCAAATCTCTACTTGTGTCCAGACTGTGAGACACATATTCAACATATTCTTATTTCCTCTCTGCTTCTTCCTCGTGTGCTGTTTATGATGATGGACGGACAGATTGAATCCCCCTTCTCCTGCCCCCACCTCGTCTTCCACTACATTCCACATCATCAGCAGATGAAGCGCTCAATTGAGCAGAAATGATCAGCTGAAGGAAAACAAACATGCAGGCAGGCCAGATGATATGGGGGGATGGGGGCAGCTTTACTTCATACTGTATAACACATACAGTGAATAACTGTAACACATACAGTATGGTTTGCATTTCCCTAACGGGAGAAAAATGACACCAGGAGTCTCATATGATACCTGCCCCTGAACCCCTCTTAAAGAAATAGAAAGACACACAATAGGTTTATAAACACACAGTGTGTGGTTTAGTGTGCTTTTCTGTACAGTCTAGAAATAATGAGCCGGGTTGTGGGTTCATAATTATCTCACAAGTTGAGATTCATCGTCTCCTGTTTGTTACAGCTGTGTATCAGCAGGAACATGGGGATTATGATTCTTCAATGTAGCTGTACATGAAGCCATACAGGATACATTTTAAACTCCTATTGTAGAGGAACGTTCTCTGTATGAAGAACAAAACATGACTCAAATAAACAGAGTGAAATAGATTCTTGTCTTTTTTCACTTTGCCCTCAAATTTTTAATCATGTTATTTGTGTGGGTTATAATTTCATGTCTGTATGAGCAGACCCCAGGAGGAGGGCTTTCTACTTTAGGGATCATATTCAAATTAATAAATAAGATCTGCATTTAATCACAGTCCCTGTAACATCCAACATCATAGCACAGTTTCTGTTATTCTCTGCCTTCATCAGTGGAGTTCATTCAAATCTCTTCATGTAAACTATTTGTAACAACAAAAAACTCTCCAGGTGGAGCCAGAGACAAAAGAAAGAAGCCTTTTATGGAATCTACACCAGTGTTTCTCAACTGGTGGGGCGGGACCCAAAAGGTGGGTCGCGGAGCTATTTTCAGTGAGTTGTGGGTACAGTACGTGCTTGGAAAAAAAACCTGGTGTCAAACAGTTTATCAAGCGCTTTTTTTTTTTAACATGTTGGTTTGGTTTAGTTTCTTTCTCCCATCAGATTTTTTGCATCGTCTGAGGTACACAATATTTGACAGAAGCTGCAAACTGCACCATTTTTGATTAAATAAATCTGATTGGTTGAAAAATATCAGAATTATGGGTCACTATTTTTCAGAGAGGACTAGACGAGTTGAGAACCACTGATCTACACCATATCACAAAAACAATGTCATGACATTGAAGTTCTATCTTACATCGACCTCTCATGACTGGAATCTGAACTCGAAACATTTCACAGAAAAAAACAAAACACAAAAGCACACACACACATATCTAGAAGCTATAGCTGCAGTGACACAAACTGTGAAGCTACAGAACATGACACATCCCGACTCACCTTCATACTGTGTCAAATAATAACTACAACTGCCACTCGTTCTAGTAAACACAAGACGAACACGCACAAAGCCTTTAAAGAATGTGTGTAGACGGGCAGATTTATGTTCTCATATATGTGCTCTCTTTAAAACGAGCTACATATATGACTCCAGCTTTGTGTGGAGCACTGCCCGGCTCTTTGAATGTGACATTGTGTTTTAAAGTGCTCAGCCTCTCCACCCTTATTCACTCAGCACTGTTTGTTGTTGTTTGGACTACAGAAGTTCTGCAGAGTTCACTCCAAACATGGCTGCAGATCAGACTTATTCTGGGTTTAATTGTAGTGAACTGTCACTGTGATTTACTTCATGTTTCCAGAGATCAATATGTGTCACCACAGCATATCAAATCACAGATTCCTCTCTGTTAGAAACATGAGCAGGCTGTCAGCTAGCTGTGAAGAAGCACGCATGCTCTGTGATTGGCCGGTGGGCAGCAGTGGGAAGAAGTATGCAAAATGGCCGATCAGCAGCGTAGCACCATTTACTCAGCAACAAAACATGATAACAGGCCGGCCTGATGGTGCAGCTGATGCTCCAGTGATAGATGTGATGAGTCATCAGATGCTGCTGACATGATGGGGCTGAAATGGTGCAGCGAGGGGCTGTGGGTCGTTTCAGTTACAGCTTGTGTTTTTGCGATCAGAAATGCACCTCATGCTGACGTGTTTGACTGTAAACAATGAAAGGACACACTGTGTTGTGCATGTGGGTGCGTGATCCGTACGGCGGAGCTCTCAAGGTGTGTGTTTGGTGCAGTCGTTGCAGCTGTTGACATTACCTTCATCTTACTAAGCAGGGTCCTTAAAGCCCTTTTCAGATCGGGGGTCTTCTCCGACGGTGAGACTGCCTGCCACTGCAGAGGAGAGTTCAGACTCAGCGCCCAGCCCACAGACAACATGCTGGGGTGGGGGGGGAGGGAGGGCGAGGCACAGCTGGGTGAGGGTTGGGGGAGGCGAGGAATGGGGCGACATGGGGCGAAATGAAGCAGACAGTGTCCAGGCTTATGGGGCTATGAGGATGGGGAGTCACACGGAGGATGGCGGGCGCTTTGAGGGAGGATGGATGTTGGTAGAAGGTGCCCAGAACCGAAAAACACATCTGCATATACTGTTTGATCCTACTTGTTTTATTTGTGTGAGGAAATCGACTGTTGTATGGGGGGGGGGCTAAATGTATTTAAACAGGAAACCAACACAGGACTGATTCTAACTAAATGACACCACAGCCCGGGGTCTTAAAACATTTGTACAAAGTTTAACAGGGACATAATAACTCAAATTTCCTTCATTAACTGAGCCAAACCTACAGCGGGGTATCATGGGAAGGCGTTAACAGTCTAAACATCGAGCTGTGAAGCGCTGACATCACTAGGAGGCTAACCGGTCGGTCAGAGACGGAGGATGATGTGGAAGGCCTGCACCCAGAGGCCAGGATGTTTGTGACGGATGGGATAGAGGGAGGAATTCTTCAATGGGGAACAATGTGTCTTTGTAAAATCGGATTACTTCATGTCAGGCTGGTACAATGCATGGCAGGGAAACAAACATAACATGCTAATGGACTGCTTCATACAAAGCTGATGTTGGGTTGACATGAACTGCGATTTTGAGATCATTAAAGTGGCTGCCAAACAATCTGTCAGATCAGATCCACCTTGATTTAAAGCAAACTCTCAGTCCTCTCTTACACACTGAAGCTTATGTTAAATCTCATCATGTTTATAGTCAACCGCACATGAAGCTGTATGCTCAGTTTCAATGTTTGTACTGACCTCTCTGTCAAACTGTGAGAGTGGAGCATCGCCACAGTCCATGCCTCCGCCTGAGGAGAGGGAGCTCTCAGAGGGAGAGGTCATGGTCTGCCGTTTGGATCCGTAGCTCCCCCCTGACAGCTCCCTGCGTAGAGCGCTGCCGTTCTGTGAGGACGAGCCTGAGGAGAGAGAGGAGGGAGAGGAGGGAGAGGAGGAGAGGTCAGAGAGGAGCTACAAACATGAAGCTACTTCAACAACGTTCACTGTGAAGGGTTCAGAGTCTCCGGTACTCACGTATGCCCAGTCCGCTGCTCGCGCTCATGGAGCGGCCCGGCTCGGCACGGTTCTTGGTGATGGAGGGGATGCTGACGGATCCGCTGAAGCCCGCGCGGCTCTCCTGAACACGGACGTTCTAGTTTAAAACACGCACAGAGCAAAAACACACACGCACCACGAGACAGAGTGCAGTGCAGGGGACAGGAGTGAGGACGGAGCTGCTGCAAACCTACATGCTCGTAAAACTGAACACTACTTTGGCCCGTCTGTGATTGGACAATGAGGTTTGGGCAGATAACCATCCATGTGTCTTAGAGGATATGAGGGTGAAGATGTTCATTATGTGATGCAACTAAACATCACATAATGAACATAATGGTACAGCCAGAAGTGTTGGCATGCAACAGAACACACTGAGGTAACACAGGCTGGAGGGGGGGGGAGGGGGGGGGGGGGGGAGATTGCTGAAGCTCATCTACATACAGTACAAACACATCTCAAACAATCAGTGTGCCTACGTTTACAGGTTCTTGGGTTTTTCTACAGTGCATGTCTATGTGTGTCAACACTTTCAGGATGCTGTGAGTATGTATGTGAGTGTCTGTGTATACCATGGGAAGGTCTTTAAGGATCTGGATCCCGTCTCCTGGTCCCATGTGAGCCACATGGTTGAAATTTGTGGGGTTGGAGATCAGTTTATTCCTCATCTCTGGGTCTCGTAGCATCTCTCTAGAATCACAGACACAAATACAAGAGATGAACGGAAGCAAAAAAAGAGGAGCAATTTGTATCTCAACCGTACAAACACAGGAAATTATTCCATGAAAGTAGTGAAAATTAATGATTCTGTATACAATGGTGATCTAGGAAAAGGCTGAAAAAGTCCTGACAGTATTAATGTCTCTGCTGCCTCATGCAGCAGGTAAACTACCTCCTCTGCTGAAGCCGCTCCTCCTCAGGCACCCTGAAGGAGAAACGTCTCTTGTTGTTCATGCTGCGCACCATCTGCTTCCTGCTGTTGTCTGACGTCTCCGGGACGACCAGCTCATCACCCTCTGGAAGATCACAACAAAGCCACCGGCATGTTTGCATCAAAGACTCCAAAGTGTTTCAGATCTACTCTCGTGGCTGACAGCAGCATGTTAGGCTTTGTACTTTAACTAAAGTTGGTTTTGATCATCTGCCTCTATCAGCAGAAACAGCCACATATGAACATATCAATTTAAAGACCACAACTGAATACATTTCAGAATTTTTTAAAAACATTTTTGAAGTTTTAAGTTGTTTGATTTTTAACACCGGGGATTCTTACCTGCCATCTTGTTTCTAAAGTAGATAAGCCGGACTGTTTCCAGCCCCAGCAGGTTCAGAGAGCCATCAACATTCAGAGGTCGCACCTGAAGAAAAGGCAGAGACATCCATCATTCATCCATTTAAAAAAAACAGATTTCTGGTAAGATATGTACTGCAAAATTTAAAGTCATGTGACAGGGTGGCATTAAAAAAAACAGGTACTGTAGTGACATGGCCTAACAGTGTTAATACATCTAATCCACCAGGTGGAGCCAGAGATGCCCTGAGATGTCTGATTGACTTCATAATTCAGTTTTTATATACACAGCGTTCACTAGACCACAGCACTGACCTTCTTGAGTGGGATGGTCTGAATCCACTCCATAGTGTTGACATCAAACACATCCACAGCATTCTCACTGTACACTGACAGGTAGGGGGCATTGTAGCCTGGACACAGAAACAAACAGGACTTGTTTTACATCTTTGATTCACTTTATTGCCGTTCTACAGTAATCAAATCTTTATTTATTCTTTCTTTCTAAATCAGTTTATGATTCAGAGCACTATGTAACTAGTTACACAGTGGACATGCTTTTTAAAACCCGCCTCTTCATTTCATCACCATATAGACTTAGTATTTCCATCACTCACAGGCAGCGAGCGGCGTCGCCGGCCACATCAGCTCCTGCTGACGAGACCTGCGGCCTTGTGAGTCCACATACACTCCGATGGAACTAAAACACAGCAGCAGCTCCTTGCTGGAAATCTCCACAGCACAGAGGGCATCCAGGCTCTGCTGGGGGATGAAGGCAAGGGTGTGGTCCTCATTGTGGAGCAGGTTGACAGGAGACATGTCCCCGTGGACACTGTGGAGGTTTTCAGAAACACACAGTCAGATTCATTATAAATAAACAATCTGAAAGTCGTTCTAAAACAATGGACTTTAAATCCACTAATCTTCATTGTAAACATATGAGATCACCATGTAGATTACCTGTAGCGTGTGAAGCCAGACTGATACCCCACATAAAGCCGCTCACTGAGCAGACCCATCCACTGAACGGGCCCCGGAGCCTGCAGCTCCCTCAGCCGGCGGTGACGTGCTTTACTCTTATTCACCTGAAGAGCAGAATGAAGATACAAAACTGTTTTTTTACAGCAGCTTATAAAAGAACAAAACAACATAAAGCTGAAGTTAGCGAGGAAGAAATCTTTAGTTTTTTTCTATTTTCTGACCTCGTAGCATATGATTTGCCTCTTCATGGCCACGCAGAGGCAGGTGAGCGAGCCGTTGCGGACGGGACCGGAGACGATGGATTGGCAGCCCTTAGTCTCAGCCAGCTTGTAGGACTCTGTCTCACGGCCGTCCAGGGCCTGTGTAGGGAAGAGACGGACGTGGCGGTTCCTGCCGGAGATGACTGCCAGCAGCTGCTCCTGGAGAATAAGGTCAATGTGGTGCACCTTCTTGTTGTCCCCCACCCGGATTATTTCTAAGAATGCAGGGAGAACCAGTTTGAGTGAATAAGTTGGGAGAAAGTCGTTTGTGGAGAGGACAGGAGTGAAATAAAGACAAGCATCATCACCTCATCTTTTAACGATGTTTACTTTCTTACAGCACAGAGCAGATCTTAAATAAAAGATCTTACCGTCTTTGGTGACATGGATGACAAAGAGACCTTCCTCGTTGCCCAGGGCGACACGCTCGTGATCTGAGGGTGGAGCAAAAGAAGCAGGATGACCATTTCAGTGCCAGTTAGGAGACAGAGACAGAAAGGCTGGGTTTACAGAACCAGGTGCTGCCGGGCTCAGAGTTTCACTAATTAGTTGGTTGTCTTTGGAAACAGCTGTATGAGAAACAACTAAACTCTGCTGCAGACATACAAATAACAATGAGAGGATGACTAAACAGAAATCAGATTACAAAAACTAAATCTTAGCCCTTGATTGAACTGTAGCCAGAAAAACACAAAGAGCTCCTTTTACAGAGATGTGTTTAAATGCTCTTGTCGTGTTAGACTTTTCAGACTCTCTGGTGGTTTTTTCAGCAACAATGTGATTCGTCCTGGCCCACCTATGATAGCAGCAGACTGTGTTGTCTTGATGAGCGGCAGAGTGCTGTCGTAGGCCTCCTTGGGGACGTAGACAAAGCGCTCCTTGAGCTTGTTCTTCTTGAGGATGCGATGGAGCTCGTTGAGGAGGCCCACCCATTTGTTCCTCTCCTGATCGCTGTCAGCCAGGATCAGGATGGAGGGCTTGTGGCTGCTGGAGGGGGAGAGCTGGGACGCTGTCACCTACAGAGAAAAGAAGGACGGGTCGAATAAGGTGTTTAAATATTCCTTCAGAATTTAGTATCTAGAGTATTTAGAATGTTTTTGTAGCAGACAATATAGGGGACTCACTCTGAATATACAGGGGATGTCTTTGCGGCTGGCATGGATGACATCAGAGGCCAGGACAGAACTGACAGAAAACTCTTCATCCCTGGAAAATAAGAACAGGACAGAACTCACAGGTAAGACAAGCAGGAACAAACACTGCAATGATGAGTTAAGTATTGAATTAGCTGAATGAAAGAAATGTCATCATTAAGTATTTGATCATCTTTTAAATGTTTTAGTCCTGTATTTATCAAAATGTTAAAAACTCTCTCAACCCCTCTCCCTTTGGAAGACTTTATTTGATATTAGGTAGTAAGACAAAAAAAGCTGACGACATACAGCAGCCACTGACAAACTATAGATGTCATTTCTTCATTTTTATTCCACATCATCATTAAGATAAGAAATAGCTTGATTGATTAGGGGCGGCTGTGGCTCTGTGAGTTTGTTGTCTCTCACCCGGTATGTTTGGGGTTCGATCCCCAGCTCCTGCAGCCACATGTCTACAGTACTGTATGTGTGCTTGGGCAAGACACTCCGCTGCTGCATCAGCGGCGTGTGAATGTGTATGAATGGATTAGTTAATACTTGTGGTCACTTTACTCAGCAGCCTCTGCCATCAGTGTGTGAATGTGTAGGCGTGACCTGCGTGTAAAAGTGTTTTGAGTAGTCAGAAGACTAGAAAATAAAAATACTGGTGGTTGCTTGTGTCTGTAGAAGTATCATGAGTATGTGGAAATGTTATATTGCTTCTTTGCAGCACACAGTAATAACTTTAACTGTGTGAAGATGTTGCAGCTGAATATTCAAGATGTTTAGATAGAAAATAAGTGAGTGAAGTGTTTGAAGTCAGTGTTTGTCCTACCTCATATCGATGACTTGGCTGACTACTACACTCGGCTGCGTGGCTTTCCCCTCTCCCAGTTCGTAGAGAAACAGTTTAAAGTCACACACTACGGCCATCGCCCTCTGCCAGCCCTTCTTCACGCCTGTTGGTTTAGGCACCTAGAACCCAGACAAAGACATGTTAACGTGTTAGAATACATGAACCTGAACCAAAGCCATCAAAATATCTTTGTTTGTGTTATTATGGAAAGTTAACATGTTTTGTTTTAGATACAGTAACCAACTTTAAAAAAGGGTTTGTCTGAAGGTCATCGTTTTGATCTGAATATTCAATAAACAAAGTCGTCCTGTCGGGACAAAGACAACCGATGTTTGTTAGCTTCACTCACCCTGACGTGCCCTTCATACGCAGTGCCAATCCCCCTCTGAGGGTCGATACCCAGCGGACCCTTGGTCTGGTCCTGGGGCACAGGGCACACAGCAGGGGCCTTGTCCGCACATGTTACATGGCAAGAGAAGTTACACACTGGAAGAGGAGAGAGACAGAGTCAAGACGGAGACAAACTGGAGCTCTGACTTATCAAAGATTATACTTTAAAAAAAGTGGGTGTCTAGTAGAGACTTCACTTCTCTGTGGGTTTCTTACCTTCACATGTACAGCCTTGACGTATGAGTCCCACCATGAGGGAAGTGCACTGGTTACACTTAGTGGGCGTGTTGAATGACTTCACCACAAACTGATGAGCTTTGGGCTGTGGATAACGAGTTATATAGAATCAGATTAAGAAAGACATAATCAGCCAGTATGTTACATACCATGTGTCTTTGTGTGATAAAGGAAAATGTCTGACCTTAGGTGAGGAGCGTCCAATACTCCCGTACCCTCCTGAGCGCATGGTCGGGGTCTGGACTGTACGAGGAGGATGGTCGATCAACTGCAATGAACGAGTCCACACAAACATGAAAGAGTGAGAAACTACACTGGAACCAGGATGAGTTTTCATCAGTGTCAGGGTGACGTGAAACTTGGTTAAAGCTTCTCAAGAAGAAAAAGACGAGGAGAGCCGGACTCTGGTATTTACTACAGGCATCCTATTAACAGAAGTCTAACAACACCTTGTGTTCATTATTGATTCATGTCTACTGCTGGCCTTAATATTCCCCTTTCTTTTTGTTTTACTGCTCGTGTGTCTCTATAATTGTGAGTATCTGAATTATAAGTAGCTGTTAGCAGGTCGACTCAACTGATAGAAGGAATATTAGGACTCATTTTTCTTTTTCTTGATCCTCAACATGCCCGACATTCACATGTCATGTAAGATCTTGATTAGGTTTTCAATCTTGTGACAACAGAATGGGAAACCAGATCCTACCACTATTCAAATGTGACTTTAGTTTCAGCTTAACTGCGTAGCAAATCTTATATTTTTAAAGACCTCTTTATCCTTAGAAAATCTTCCTGGTATCATACCAGCTTTTACACAGAAACATGTACGTTTATTCTTAAGACTAAGAACTGATCTGACCTCTATAGGCTCCATATCACTAGCCATGGAGGGTGAACGCGAGCGGGACTTGAGGTGGGACTTAGGGTCATCTTCCCGGGATGGAGTGTTGGAGGGGGTGAAGTCAATAGAGTCCACCTGAAAGGAGAGAAGCAAGATGGAGGAGTGGAGGGGACACAGCAGAGCATAGGTTTGGAGAATCAGAGAGGGTGGAAGAAAGGAGGATGACGATAAGAGGAGGAGGGGAGGAGACAGAGGGAGAAGCAGAGTGTTAAACTAAATAAGAAGACAATATGCTCCCATGCTTAGAGAACAGGGTCAAACAGTATCAACAGACTTTGTGGACAGGATATGTGGCCATATCCACAGGACTTATAAAGATAACCACAACATCACAGCCAAATGACCATGCTGAAACACGACAGCTTTCACCGTACACCATGCATGGCCAATCACAAAGCTTCTCAGAATAAAAAGAACAGACGCACAGACATTCATCTTTCTAGACAACACAGGAAATACCCCTCGTCGTTTAAGTATGAAAAATCAACAAACAATAATGCCTTTCACAAAACAACAATGAGAAAAAGACGGTATTCAGGACCCCCGCCATGCAACCAGACAGTCACAAAAAACAGGCAAGGAAGTGCAAACACATACTGAACATCAAACCAGACACCAACAAGAAGCACATTTAAAAACAAAAGCTAGATCAAAAAAAAAAAGAAAAAGAAATCAGAGTGCAGTGATGGTGCTTACACGTCTGCCTTTGCTAGCTGGGCCAACGGATGGCGAGCGCTTCAGTGGCGGGAGAGGCAGAGAGTGGCAGAGACAGAGAGATGAGTGAATATCAACGAAGGCAAACAGAGATGAAAACACACGTTTAACACACTGAGGAAGAAACACTGACATGGTGAAAGAAGCCTGTATTACATTCAACCAGCGGTTCCCAACCTTCAAACGTTTGATGTGAGGTTACCTTACTCAAGCGCTCAGCTGAGCTCGCTCCATCAACTGTGTTATATTATTGTGTATAGATATGAATACAACAGACTAGGACAGGCAATCATTACAGCAACCATGAATTAGCAGCGTTTAGCCGTAGAGACATGTGCACACACGTCTACCATCTTTAAGTCGGGTTTGAAAATCTCCTTTAAGGTCACTCTGTAGCTGAGACCAAGATGAGGGAACCAACATTAAAAAAGGAGAAATATATTCAGCTGATGATTTACTTTAAGCTAATTATATCACCTCATTAACGTTAACTTTAAGCTAAATGTTTTAACTGCTTCTCCATTACTTTTACTTTCTGTTACTGTCAGCTGACCATTAAAGATTTATCAATAACTGGTACTTTTGGCTTTTTCATTTGACAGCTCATTCTTTCTTTTTTGCTCAATATGTAACTATTCATCGACTGAGTTAGCTAACTATAGTAACTATACTTTGACCAAACTATTTAAAATCCTAAACTATTACATTACCAGCACCTTCATCTGTTTATTCTCTTTTTTTAAATCAACTCTTTCACCTGTGTATCCATCACTTTTAGCTAACATTGTCAAGCTCTTGTAATTAAGAATACATTTAGTTCTCACTTATTCGTTTTCATGCAGCTTCTTCAGGTTGAAGAGCAGAATATTTGTTGTAAATGAAGTCAGGGTCTCAACAGTTACTGGTCCCATGCACCAGTTGTTGTTTTTATCCCAGAAACAAAACGACTCAGATGTATTTAATTGAACATTTAGAGTTTGTCATTGTTATCTCAGTCACGTTTAGTAAACTTTTTTTTTACTTGGGTTCAGTTTATTAATTGAGATTTCTACAAGTACCAGCATGGGAACCAGTAGGCTTAGTTGGGAATCACTGTGGTTCATTATTGTTTATCCACAAGGGTTACGTGAGGGAGGGAGGCTGAAGAGGACACACGAGTACAAATGGATCAAAATAAACATGATGATTGGAGGAGAGGAGCACAGATAGTTAGTATGATGCACTGTTACAACTTAAGTCGCTTTTTGTTTTTGCTAAACACTATGAAAGATTTATTTTATAACAGCATACTTTGTTTTTTTTTTAAACCCGAGAACTAGCACTAGAAAGCCAAAGTCGAGCCCACCAGCCAATATGGACTTGCAAGCAGCTGAGTACAAAGGCAGCCCACTGCAAAACAATCCATCTTCACTAGAGCAACTGAAGAAAATGAATTCATATGAACTGAGATAACATCTCATTCCATGTGTTGTTTGAAAAGGAATCATGTGTAGCTCTGGACTGATTTATTTTGCAGTGGCTCTGTTCTTCTTCACAGCTAAGCTAATGCACAGGCACAGACTGGCATATCTGCAATATCTAGTATACACAGATCTATACTGTTGTATCAGCTCAGAGTCCTACAGCATACAGCTACTGTCACATGTACACACACACATAGACCTCTGCCTAACACAGGGACACTTACGTCTTCCCAAAACTCAATTAAAGAAGATGACGATGAGGAATAAGAGTCCTGATGTACCACAGATTGAAGCAAAGAAACAACCAAAAAGATTAAAACAAAAAGAAAGGTTTTGGAAAAATTCATGTGAGCAAACAAAAGTACAAAAAAAAAGCACAAATATAACGTCATGAACGTTGGCAATGATGATTTTACATCTTTAATTCCAGACCTATACATATAAGGTTAATCACATCAGCTGCGTAAAGTTTCAGTCAGCCCCTGCGAGGAGTGTTTTTTATATACTTACATCAAACTGGTCGAGGGCCGAGGTCGGGGCATTTAGGAAAGCCAGGAAAGAATTCTGGGAATCCTGGTGCTTGACGCCTACAGACACAGAACAAATAACACGACCGTGGATAAGTACGAGATATTGAAACATCAAAGCCTTACTTACATTAAAAGAGTCACAGGACTGTTTCATATGACCTCAATAACAATACATTTTCATTTACACAGCACATGATTTTATTCTCATAATATGGCGGCTGACTTAAGACCTCCTGTGATAATCTCGCACGCGAAGCTAATAATGTTTGTGTCCATGTATTCCATTAACTTCAACAACCTCGTATATTTGACAAATCATGCTTTTTGTGTTTGAGGCTCTACAAGACTGATGTTTGTTCAATTAATGAACAAGCTAAAGGTATATATTCCTGCATTATTTTGTTTTAAGATGTTTGTGGGCCTTTTGGCCTTTATTAGATAGGACAGCTGAAGAGAGACAGGAAATATGTGGAAGAGAGAGTGGGGGATGACATGCAGCAAATAGCCTAAGCCGGATTTGAACCTGTGGCCGCTGCAACGAGGACTACAGCCTCCGTACATGGGGTGTGTGACAGTTTAGCTGCCTTTACAGATTTGTAACACAAATGTCTACATTTGTGTCCCTATAAACCAAGAAACAAGTATCACTTGAACAAGAAGATCCAAACTTAAGTTATTTCAAGTCCTACCCCTTCGTAGCCGCAGCTCCTCCGTCTCTTTCTTCAGCCTGTCGATTTCAGCCAGGAGCTCCTGGTTCTTGCTTTCCACATCCTGCAGTTTACTGGTAGAAACAACAATGCATGAAATACAATCCAGAGAAATCCCTTAAAACAAAAGTATCCTCCTGTCGTTAAGGTAAGAGCAGTCACTGCTTCTGTTGTGTATTACCATTCTGTGGAGATGCTGTTTGCCTTGACCTTGTTCAGTTCATCCTGGATGCTCTGCTTGGCTCTGATCTCGGCATCCAAAGCCGACTGCAGCTCCAGACGAGCCGACATGTCCAGCTTGGCAAAGCGCCGCATCTTCCACGGCATGTCCTGATAACGAGACACAGAAGAGTAAGTAAACTCCAAACAGAGAAGATGAAGTTCAAGAAAGAAAGAGAGGCACAGAAAGAGACGAGAAATGTATATTTAAAAAATCCAGATAATTGATCTATTATCCCCATTTACAAACGTTTAGTCACCCAGAGCAGTTGGAAAAGAAATAGAAAATGTATATTTCACCGTGGCTCTCGCTCCCAGGCTGGTGTTTCTCAGCCCCTCCAGCTCCTCCGTCATCTTAGTGGCCAGAGCCTGAAGGTAGCCTCGAGCATCCTTTTCATCACTCACCCTGCAGAGAACAAACATTTACACATTATTTACTTTACTGCACATGAGAAACACATTCCAAAGACCTACTTTCACTCATACAGTGCAAATCAATCCTAAGACACTGCTTATTTAGTTCAGATCCACACACAGACAATATTGTCCTCTTGGTCACCAGTTTAAGATGAGAGCTTTAACGAGCAGATTTCATCCTCTCTATGAATAATCACATTCATGATGTAAACACTGCTGTAGTTACAATGTGACACCCTGTTTAGCCCCTTAGGTGCTGTGAAAACAGGAACAACACAAACACAGATATGACCATGTGTGGACTGTATGAAGCTCTTTTAAAACATCCCTGACCCCAGACACTGACAGTGTTGACGGAAAAACTTGATTGAGCCTTATTCAAGTATAACATTTGATCACATACACAAACTGTACAGTAAAGTGGATCACAGTTGAGATATTTTCCCCATACAGTGTTCTTATTTTCTACTTTTGTAGCGCATCTTATCCACCAGGGGGCAACGTAGATCACTAATCTCTTCAAAAAGCTACAGGCTCAACATTTGTTCGTGCATGTTCGGAATGCAAGTGTGTGCTTTGGTGTATGTGTCTCTCTGCTTCTGGATGCATGCATCTTGCACGTGTGTGAGTGTGTATGTTTGAGTGTGTGTGGAATGCGTGCTATGTGAGGAGCGAAGGCCTGTCCAACAGAGGGAAGCCGAGCAGCTGGCGAGGTGTCAGCTGCAATGGGAACTGATCTGAGAGGATAGGGCGGGTCAAGTAGCTCTAAGATCTTCAGAGGAATGTGAGAAATGTTGTGTTCATACTGAATAAAAGGAACACGATACGCTACCAGCAGGAATAGAGAGTGTGATTGAGGAAATTGACTGCCTGCATATGCGTGTGTGAAGTTAATTTGTGAGGGGCTCACCATTGAATGATTTCTGTGATTTGGGCCTCCCAGTGAGCTACACTCTCCTTTTTGTCAGCCAGCTCCCTCATCTCGTCCTCCAGCTGCCTGTTGGAGCCGCTCACCTTCTCGAACATGCTGGTCAGCTGGGGGGAAAAGCACAGACCTTATTGAACATCATAAAAGAAAGCAAAGAGATGTAAAGCTGTCAGTCAGTGAGAAACAAGACAGCTGGCAAATGAGTTAAGGTGTAAATTAACACCAGGACATTAAAACCTGAATTACTGTGTAATGACTCTAACAGGCAGAATCGTTGTGAAACTACAAGCCAAGGCACTCAATCTTCATGCCTTTATTTGGAGATAGGACAGTGGATAGAGTCAGAAATCGGGGAGAGAGAGTGGGGAATGACATGCAGGAAAGGAGCCATAGGTTAGATTCAAACCTGAGGTGCACACACTAACCACTAGGCTACCGGCACCCCGAGCATCCTCAATCTGAAGTCTTACTGGTTCAAAATGTTCAAAGGAATCATTGCACTACGGTTGGATGTTAGCACAGCGCTGCTCAGAAGGTGTGTCCACTCACACAGACATCCAACCTGGGGCAAGGAAGGTGATCAATCTTAAAATATCACATCCATAATCCTTTAATATGAGAGGTGTGTACACACGTAACCATGGTGACATCATTACAAGTCTAAAACTGCCCTACTGTTTGCTTTAAGACTTCACACTGTGGACTCATTTTTGGTGTCTTCCTGTCAACGCTGTGATGTAATGTGCGAGCTGAGAGTCATTTTACATTGTTTTTCAATTGCTTTCCATTCCTGGAGCAGGTCGCCAGCGAATGTTTGGAGTATCTGTGAGGACAGTGGAGGTCATAAAATAAAGGCAGTGTTGTGGAGAAGGGCTTCAGCCCACTGGAATGAACACAAACATTTGATGAAATAAATATTGCCTCTTAGGGCAAGTACTGTGCCTCTTGGGAAAGAAGTCTACTTTACGACTTTAATGTGATGAAATCACTCCATATAAGACTAAAATTCACGAGTTACAACAGACTGTGATCGATGCTGAGAACATAGACAGCACAACTCTTCATAAACACATTGTTTACTGTGTAATAGTTTGATATCTACTGACTTTTATTTAGCAGAATAAAAACTCCTCTCACACAATAAACCATGTCCTGCTTCATGTTCGTTTCTCTCGAGTTTGTTCTTCTTGAATTACACACTCGTCATTCTAACATATAAAAACACTTGTTTGACTTGAAATTAGAATCTGATTATATATGTTTTCCTAATATTCAATTGCATGTGTACTCTGTTGAAGTTGAGTATTTGCTAGGACAGTTCTTCCCAAAGTGTGGGCTGCAGCCCCCTAGTGGGCTGTGTGGGTACTGCAGGTGGACCACGAAAGGACCTCCACAAAGACCATAAAAATAAATATCCCAACCCTTTAAGTGTTTAGTAATGCCTGTCATGACTATTCATGGCTATGATAGCGTATAATATTTTACTATTGGTTTAGTAAACTTTCTTGTACGTCCAATAATTTACCCTCACTGAGAATGATAGCTGAAACTTTTATTTTAAAACAGGCCAGGGGTGATTTTGTATTTCAAAGTGGGCCGGGGCGGCTGTGCTAGAACATTGAGAAACACTCCCACAGCTTCCTCAGTCTCCATGTCTATCTGTATTTGTGTTCAGAACTCTTACTCTTAAAGGTATCCACTGAATACATTTGACTGCTGCTTACTATTTCACATTCTTTAATTAAGGCTATCCCTTTAGTAAGCTACATCAACACACTTTGTGTACAGTTGCTGCTGCAAAGCTAACATGCAGAGAGCACAAAGCGGCTGCTTAGAGTCGGAGAACCAGCTTCACACGCTGAGACTTTTAACTCTGTTAGTTACTGAAGTTCACTTCACAGCCACAGTACATGAAGGTGACGATATGAGATCTCAGTAGAGAGACTTTTGTACAGCTAGCTCCTAGCCACTTTGTTTGCTCCCCATTTACAGAAGAGAGATTAAATGTAATGAGAAGAAGGTGTTGTAGTATATCAGACGTTCCAGTCTGTGGACGGCACTGTGAATTTATGTTTCTCCACTCTTCAGCAAGTAATGCTAATTTGTGATCATTTACGTCAAAGCACAAAAACGACCTCTAAATGGAACGCAACTTTCCTTTGAGTGGATTTTTAAATCAGCCTGATTCATGCCAGACATTGAAAATTGTTTTATTATTGTTTAAATATAATAACATATTCTGTCCTTGAAAGGAAAAGTGAAATATGAATTTATAAGTGAATCAAGTTATAAGAGTCAAGTTTTTCAGGAGAATCTGAGCTGAGAAAGAAGGAGCAGAAAAAGACGATCTATTGTGAAAAACAATGTCTCTGTGTGAACTGTAAGCAGAACAGTTTGAGCGTCTTATCACTACAAATGAAACGTCAGAGGTTTGTCTACTCTGCTCTCCTTGAAACACACACACTCACACACTGAAAGACTTTATAACTGAAGACGAAGTGGCTTTATTTTACTAGTAAGCAAACAGTGTTGAAAGTCCGCGGCTCCACTGAAAGATGAGTCAGTAGAACAATAATATTTTCACAATCTCTAAATGTGTTGAAAAACTGCTTGGTGCAAAGACTAAGCATGCAGCCACATTGTATCGGCCATGAAGCCTTTAGCTTTAAAACAAATATCATTTTTCAGTTCTTAAAAATAACACAAAAACACATTTAGTAACCATAGTGACACGTGCTATCATTCCAGTGGCAAACACATCCACTCTCTTTTCATTTAATCAAGATATGTTTTCTTTCTTTATCAGTCGCAGACTTTGAAACAACTCTCTGACTTTAAATTGCATTTGTCAAAATGCCTCCCACTTCTAAAACCTTGTTTAAATTTAGGGTCTTTCTGAACTTCCAAGAGCTATTTCCAAAGTCAATAAAGCGTAATCCAGAGACTCATTCCATCGAACTGTGTAGGAGGCTACAGGGTGTTTTTAATGGGGGACATTGAACAGTGATTTCTTTGGAAGAGCTGCGAGAGAGGGGGTGGAGAAAAGAATGTGATGACAGAGTTCAGCCTGGTCAAGTGGGGTTACCTGGGGTTAGGGGATAGATGTTTGTTAATGTGTGAGTTTCTACACGTAAGGGAGTCAAACAGATGACTTACAGGCTGTGACGGCTTCTTGTTTATCAGGGTGATTATTAAGTGTTTGTTGTGTTTCTGTGAAAATATACTTTACCTTATCCAGCTCACTGGACATCTTCTTATTTTCTTCAATGAGCAGGACTCTCTCCCTCTCATACTTCTCCTTGTACTCGCTCTCAAACTCTTCCCTTTCGCTTTGGCTGGAGAAACACACACACACACACACACACACATTATTACATCATTGCACTCGTGACACTAAATAAACGTACATTCAATTGGCAGCTGCTAATCCTCTCTTCACTCTTGACTTTGTGATTTCAACCTGAATACAAACTCAATCTTTCAAAAAGAGATCTGGGTTTTTGTTAAACTTGAACACTAATCTTTGAACTGTTATTGAATGTTAAATAAGCATGGCAGGTTTTCTTATGCGGTGGTTAAATAACAACACAAGTTTACAAAAAATATAATAAAATGTTTTAAAAACTTGCTGCCAACCTCCCTCAGAATGCCTCATCTATCCTCCTACCCGTGTTGGTGTGTAGGCTCCACACATTTCCTTAAATCATATCAAAGGCTTGATACTAACACTGGGTACACATCATGAAGCCCAAACACATTAATGCAGAACGAATCTGATACAGCCGAGTGTTTATAAATGAATCAGAAAGTAGTGAGAATAGCACGTCAGTAACACCGAGCAGGAAGGTTAGGCTAAGGCGTACAAAAACATTGTTTAAATTTTGAAGCCTTCTACTAAAAAACAAACAAAGATTTTATTAAAAAATGATTCAACCATTGGTTGACAAAGTATCAGGTGCCCCTGGCTTCTTACCAGAGGGGTCTGCAGCAGAAATAATAGTTACCTTGTCTCATCTAATGACAGTAAATATTGGATTTGGCAGTTTAAAGGAACATTTTTGCTCATATTCAACTTTTTCTACCTCACTTTGAGGTTGTACGTTTATCTAAATCAGGTTGTAACTCTTAGTATGTGAGTTTAACAAGTTTTCATGTTGTTTAAACTGAGATAAACTGAAGACGAGTATAAAAACAAACATGTTCACATACTACCCAGTGACTACCCACATGAGTTTTTACTTTTCAATTTGACAGCACGTGAGAATTATTTACAATTTAAATGGAAATTAGATCAGATATATCTGCTATCAGTTCATAACAATGAGCCAAGGAGCTCACTGAAATGGTAGATTTCAGCTTTCTGGATGAATCTCTTAATATTGATTCACCTCCTGTGAGATGAGGGTGAAACTGGAGGGATAGAAATACTAAAGAAGGAGCTCACTATGGCTAAGGGGCAACACAACTATTTAATTCTAATCGTACTACATTCAAGTGATGACTAGTTCAGCTATTCAAGAGAAACAGCACTTCACAGTTACTACATTTATACCTGACATGGAGTCATATTTAATGTAATGTTAATTACCTCATGCAAACATCACTGGAAGAACAACAAAGAAAACACATGATATTGAGACTTCCATTACACTAAGCATACGAAGTTTAGTAATATCACTAACGGCACTGTACTGCAACAAAACCACAGAGGTAAGAAGATGATGAAAAAGAATCAGAGATGACTAAATACGATACCTCTCACGGCGAGTCTTGTCCAGCTTGTCTTTGAGCATCAGGATCTCTTTCTGCAGGGTCAGGTGTTGGCTCTCAGCGTCACGCAGCTCTTTGCGCAGGGCCTTCAGCTCTGTGCTATGCTGCGCCTCTCTGCGTGCTAACTCCTCCTCGTACAGAAGAGTTTTCTTCTCCAGGTCTCCCCGCAGGCGTCCCATCTCCTGGGTCTGGTCGGCTGAGGCCGGGATGGTAGAGGAGCCAGCCTGCTTCAACTAGGTGAGGAGAAAGTGGACAAATGTGAAGGTGGTATGGGTTCGATCTTTGTAATCCGTGCAGACATGCTGTAGACAGACGGGTTATTGTTCAGCTGTGTGTACCTTAAGCCCTTCCAACTCCTCCTCCAGCTGTCGGCTATACTGTTCATTACGCTCTCTCAGTTTCCTCTCTTTCTGAGCTTCTGCTGACTGCTCCTCCGCCTGCGCCTCCATCTGAACAGAATACAGTTATTTCATCATACATCATATCTTAAAAACCACAAAAACATATTCAAAACCAAGCAAAGGTAAAACATTCAAATCACACATAACTGCACAAATACAAAAGAGGAGGGAAACTAAATGACACACTCTGTTACAGCCACATTATCTAATCTACCGTCTAAAAACTTGTGTAAATCTGTGAAGTATTCTAGGTAGGTGGTACTAGAACCATACACAGGCACTAATAGAAGTGTGAATTGTGCACCGACCAGTAAATGGAGACAACAGGGAGTGCTAGCAACCACAGGGAGACTACTCTACCTCCTTCTTGGCCCTCTCAGCCTTTCGCACCTCAAGGCGGAGAGCCTCCACCTTCTGACTTAAGCTCTCCATCTCCTCCTCCTTATCGCGCAACTGGCGAGCCAGGCGCTGCTTCGCTGACCTGGCAAAACAAAAAAAGTTGAGTCACAACATGTTGTGAATGTTACAGGTTAGTAACACATATGAACAAGAACAGCATATAACACCTATTGTTACAGTTCATGAAATAAGAAGCATAATAGATCAATGTATGTATTTCACTCAGTTGTAACTGAGCCACATTATCAGGAAGGCTTAGCCGTAGAGCAGCGATCCTACCTGAGGTCTGTGAGTCTCTCGTTGAGTTCAGAGAACTCCTGCATGGCCAGTTTTCTCTGGCTGTGAGCTTCCTTTAGCTCCTTCGATTGAGACTTCAGCTTCTCACTGGCCTCCACGACATCCTGAACACAAAGGGAGATTAACATTTAGGGAAGGGACACTGACATCAATAAAGGCATTGCTAGCTCCTCAGACACAGAGATCAAAGTGGAGTAATCTGGCTGCAGGTTTGTGTTATTTGAACATTGATATCTGTGAGTTTATAGGCACAGCTACAATACAGGCTTTAGTGCTCAGTATGAGCAAAGGCTAAAGGATTTGTCTCTTTAACTACCTTGACTGATGGTTTTTAACTATTTCAACAGATATCCTCATGGCATTTCTTAATTATTGCTTGTTCGTTCATAAACCCCAGGTCAGACATTCATGTTACAATAGTTCAAATTACAGACATAACTCTGTGAAACTGGGGGTCTAGATCTATATAGACACACACAAACACACACAAACACACACTCACACACACTCACACACACTCACACACACACTCACACACATGAGAATAAGAATAGCAATATGTTAGAGGTTCTACCTTGTGCAGGTCATCCCTCTCCTGTGTAAGGCTCTTCATCTGCTTCTCCAGAGTTTTGACGTGTTTAGAGGAGTCCTCCAGGTCCCTGCGGGCCGAAGACACGTCCTCCAGCTGTTTCTCCAGTTGGCCCGAGTCTAAAAACACACACACACACACATTACAGAAAAGGTTTAAGACTCAATAAAACGTTGTTTCTTTATTAGCTTGACATTAAAGTGTGGCTGGTTTCAGAAAACAAAAAAGCTTTGCAGGGAGACAGAGGTGAACTGAATGTAACTTTTAAAAACTCTCACCAGCTATCTGTTTCTTGAGGATGTCGATCTCGCTCTTCAGACTCCTGATCTCCCCCTCTTTGTTAACACTGGGAGGGCCCTCGCCTGATGGGTGCTGTAAGGCCTGCACAGTCTGAGTGGACTCTGAGGAGGATCAGGTGCAAGTCATTTATTTGCATTTGCTTTTACTTTGAATTAAAACGTACATGTCAGGAGACAGATTCTGTCATCAGCTGTACCTTGCAGCTTGCGGCTCAGCTCTAGTTTCTCTTGCTCAAGTCGCCGGATCCTCCTCTCGTAGGCCTCGGTGGCCAGGCTGTCCTCCAGGCTGCGCTGCACATCCAGGTCCAGCTGGTCCTGACCAGACTTACCCGGCCTCACCACCAGCTGTCGCAGGCAACCCCTGTCAGATAGGGTGCTGTGGGGAAGTATGATGTGGGGAAAATTAGGTAGTGAAGGGTGAGAACAGTTTTAGACAGAATCGGTGAGGAAAATGGATAAAAAGTGGAAAGATTGAAAGAAAAGAAAAGAAAAGAAAAGAAAAGGAGAAAAAAAGGAAAAGACAGAAGCGGGGGGGGAGAGAAACAGGCAAGAGGAGTGGATGATTGAGATGAGATCAAAGATGAGAATATGTTGAGCGTTGAAAGAAGGGTGGAGAGGGAGTATGGAGAAGGAATGACGACAACATAAAGGGGGGAGGAGGGGGTTACAGTGGTGGGAAAAAACGAAAAAGTCATTATCACTGAGCCCTGAAGAGATAAGAAAGTAAGTGTCGGCTTTGTTGCTTTCTCAAAACAGTGTACAGTGTGAGGATCTACATAATGTCCTCGAACATCACCTTATTAGGCAGGAAAGCTCCTTTAATACGCTGAGCTTCTTCAGATGGAGAGATAACAATGCTAAGAGGGGAAGAAGGCTTGTCTGGAAACTCTGTCTGTTTTAAATGACTAATTACACAGAAAGCCAGACAGTGACAAGGTGTCAGACTTATTATAAATCTCTTAGTTTTAGAAAGTTGAGGAAAGATAAGTCTCCTTCATTTCTCCACCTGGAAGAAATCACTTGAGGAAACTGTGTCCTCAATACTTAATAAGAAATCTGAAGGGAGACATTGTAAAATAAATAGAGCGAGCCTCAAGTCTAGATAGAGTCAATCTTTATATCATTTGTCCACATGTCTGTGTCCCAGTGAAGCACTTACCATTTACTTGTGTAGGTGAAACCCACAAAGGGTAAGTGGTGACCAGAGAAAGCAGTGTGAGAGGGAGGGGGCATAGTCTCCTGAAGAATTAAGAAAAATTGACAAAATTAGCAAGATGTTCACATCCACTACATGCAATTATCAGAAATAGAAATGTACTCAGAGGAGAACCACAGTGTGAGAGTAGAGTGCATGTCAAGACAAGCAACTTACAGAGTTCTTTAGGCAGTCATCATCCACGTCAAAGTTAGAGGTATCTGTAGGACTGCTGACTTCTGGGATGTAGGGCGCTTCACAGGTAAGAACGTTTTCCCAATCAATGCCTGAAAACAACAGAGACAAATACTTAAACTACGAGGTTTATCTTCTTTAATTTGTTATTTGTGTACTTGATGAGTTCTATATTAAGTATTTCTTATTCTGTTTGTTTTAATTTATATAGTTACTGATTTATTTATTTTTTAAATGTATTGAATGAGTACAATAGTTAGTGAGATTGTACACTTGTGAGACCAAAAAAAAAAAAAACCCTGACTGACTGAAATGAGAAAAACACAGAATAGCTACAAAGAAATACCAGAAGATTTATTGGCTGAAAAAAAAAATCTCAGCCCTAATCTACAAGTGATAAATATCACTTGGCATGTAAATAGAAGACACATTGATTCAATAGAAGACTTTGTCACATCTATTCCTGTACCAGTGAAAAATGGGTGGTGCTTGAAGTCTTCAATGCCGTTCTGGCCCAATCTGTGCTCACGACTGCAAATGAGCCGGCGAATCAGATCCTTTGCATCCTCCGAAACATCTGTTATCTGCTGTGGGAACTGAAATCGCTCCTGTGAAGAAAAAAACATCAGGGTGTGCAGCAGTGGTTTGAGATGTTTACACTTCCAAATGGTATGCTTCTTATCTGTTACACACACATTAGCATGTACACAACACATATGTAGGCATTTACTGAATAAAATCTTGTCTAGAACTTACACTTTTTAGATTTTGAAAAAGATTAGACGCCTAAAATACTCTTTAAAACTCATAAGCTCACCTTGTGGTTCATGATCTTCCCATAGGTCTCCACCAGGGACTCTGCATAGAAAGGAGTCTCGCCGTAGAGCATTTCATACATGCAGACGCCCAGGGACCACCAGTCACACTCAGGTCCGTACTTGCCTTTGCCATCCTCCATAGCCTGGAGGATTTCTGGGGAGATGTAGTCTGGAGTCCCCACCGCCACCGAGGACTGGACCTAAGGCAGAAAGGACAATATCAGTCAACAACTGATCCAAAAATATCCAAAACAATCACATACAAGAACAAAATCTAGCAAAGGAAAAAGCTCAGAACTTTAATATTCAGTGTTCGGTTGTGCTTATGTTACGTTATCAGTTAGCTCCCAGTATAACAGAATTAATTTCCCATTTGGGACAACAAAGCTATCAATCTATCATGCTATTGAATGTAGTTATGATGCTGAATTCTTGAAAATTATGTGAGAAGAAATGTACCCCCAGTCCAGCAAACAACCAAACTAAGAGTTTAAGGAACCTTCAAGCCTCCACTAGGGATGCACCAATCAGATCCTGGTATCCAATATCAGTGTGACACCGACTCAAATAGCTAGATCAGGTATTGTGACTATATGCACCCATGAGCCCGATCTATACAATTTATTTCTATGCTATTCTGTCATCAGTGCAGTGGTAGGCCTAGCATTTTGCTAGGCAGAGACAACATAGCATAGAGGGTGCTAGCAACTAAGGCCCAGCAGTTTGGAGGTATTTCAACACTGTATACTGTATACTGTATACTGTATACTGTATACGACTATTTGCGAAGCTAACTGAAGAGTTTAAACGAACAAAGAGGGCAAGGACACAAACCAAAGCAAAGCATCAAAACTTTGTCGTCTGCATTGCAAATAGGGGGGAAACTCTCCAGGGAGGGTTTGAAAGCGGAACACTTGAAACCTTGGTACTGTTTAACATCATGTAAATATATTTCTGAGAGCATTCTGCCTGGCCTGTGCAAGAACGTATGAGAACATTCAGCTGAATGAATGGATGTAAAAGCTGTAAGCTCCCAAGCATATACCTGGAGCTATGACGTTAACTTACAGTGCGGTGCTAGAGGCTACAAGCTAACAACTACCACAGATTTATTTATTTATTCCTTTATGTAACAGGGACACACAGATCACACACCAACGAATGCTTTATCAGTTTACTAAAGAGCTTAAGATTTTGATTTGCTCAAGGGCACCTCTGCAATGCTCAGGAGGGGAACTACCACCTCTCCAGCTACCAGTACAATTTCAAGATTTGGTCCGCACCGGGAACAATCGACCCTCTGGTTCCCAACGCAATTCCCTACAGACTGAGCTACTGCCTGCCGCCCACTTAAACTGTAAAGAATGAATTTTTCCAAAATGACTGACGTGATTAAGTCCAAAATGCTCCACAGTGGAAGATGGAAGAAACTGATGTTGTGATCAGATCAAATTCCCTCAAACAAAAACATCTCCTTGTGACCAAACACGTAAATTTGATGTCATTAAATTAAGTAAGGACTCCTAGACTTCAAAAATGCATAGCGGTGATGGATCTTGATGAAGGCTATATGAAATACACTCCTTATAATTCACAGCCTCAACTTTGACATTTTAGTCGAAGACAAGTTTCCAAGAAGTGTTAAATAAGTCCTACGTTTATTTCTTCAAATGGTCATATAACCACATCACTTTGTTATCATTGGAGGACCAAACACAGGCACTTCTTTGATAATGCATCTCATCCTGACATTTTTCTTTTACATAACACCTGAGGGAAAAGTCTTCTTTTTTTTTTTTTTGCAAGAAGAATTGTCTGAATCATAGAATACGAAAACAGCCAAGCTGCTGAACCACACTCCTCCTGGGAGACCCCCGGGGGTTGACAAGGAGGTCAGTAAAGCTCTGGTATGTTTGCTTTGGACTGGAGGAAGCGTCAGCAGCACAGTGGTAAAAACTTACCGTCCCGTCCTCCATAAGTTTGAGACAGGAGCCAAAATCAGCCAGGCGGATGTGGCCGTTCATATCCAACAGAATGTTGTCGGGTTTTATGTCCCTGAAAGAAGAAGGAGGAAGGGATGGGGAAGGGGGGTTGCATGGAAAAAAAAAAAGAGAGAGAGGAGACACATTGAGCGAGAAATTCTTCTTGAGCACATTGTAGAAGATGAAAACAAAAGAATAGGTAAAGAGCAGTCAAAACAGACACGCAAGTCTGATCATATATATTATGTTGCAACTCGTCGTCAACTTTCCTCAAATTAAAGAACATAACCTGAGGACATTTGACATACCTCGTCTTAACTCGCTTGTAAATCTAGTGATTAAGAGTTCTGATAAATTTGCAATTTAATCAAGTGTAATATCCTGCACATTTATCAGGAGCGTGACAACCCCAAACTAACCACAAAAAAAAAGAAAAAACACTGAAAATAGTTGAGCTTGTGTGTGTGTGCGCGTGTGTGTGTGTGTGTGTGTGTGTGTGTGAGTTTACGGGATACAGTTTTAAAACACACAAACATGCACTCTGTTTGAGGAAATATTCAACACACAAACACACTCCCACTTACAAAAAAAAGGCCTTGTGTCCTCAATAGACTTACACTCCCCAGTTCACTTTTCCAACAATATTTGTGTTTGTGAACAGACACGGACTGGGGGTGGGGTGGATACTGACAACACATTCTTTCACAGATGTGTACACAGCGGCCACCTTAGAATTCTTGCTCAAACTGCGTCTGTTCAACATTACTACTGCTGATGATGTGTTTAGAATATAGCTACAGACTATGGCTGTATTCCAGCTGAAGGATTCATGGCTACACGGGCTGTTTGGACGAGCAACCACACCAGCTGGACAATATCAATAATCACCAAAGCAGCCATATTTGTACAAGCAGATAATCATGTTTGTGTGGGCTGGATCATCAGAATGGCTGATGATTAACCTAAAAGATGACATATCAAGTAGGACTGAAACTAAAAGATGTTTATCATGAGCCCGACCCATATACAGAATCTCTTCAAATTGGTCAAATATGCACTTTTTTTATTTTTACATAAACTATAAACAGTAAACTATTCTTAGAGGGAATATGGAAATGGTGTTGTCACGAATGGGTTTGTCTCTTAACTCAAAAGGTCGGGGGTTCAATCCCCAGCTCCTTCAGCCACATATCCATGTGTCCTTGGGCAAGACACTTAATCCCAAATTACTCCCGCTGCTTTATCAGTGATGTGTGAATGGGATTAGTTCATACTAATGGCCACTTTACATATAAGCCTCTGCCATCAGTGTGTGAATGTGTAGGTGTGACCTGTGGTGTAAAAGTGCTTTGAGTAGTCAGAAGACTAAAAGTCCATTTACTGTTTACAGTGTGCATTTTGAACTTCCTTGCTTAGGAAACACTGGCAATTGTAAGCAGTATGCAGCTGAGCATAAGAGTTGAGCAGACATCTTTGCATGATCATATAGTTTCTAAATCTATTCGTATTCCAGCTCAGGATTCAACGATATCAGCCACTATTTACCGGTAGGTTATCATCATGACAGTATTTGCAACTTTAAAAAAAAATGCATCTACTTCTGCAATGAAAATGATCATTTGTAGGTCGTAATCTTAATGGAGTGAGGTGCAGGAGATCTCCCAGTCTCTTAAACAGGTGGTCACTGACAGGTGGTCTGTGGTGGCCTTCTGGTGCTATTGTCTTACATGGCAGTCTAGAGTGCTAATGGGAATCCCTGCCCTGGATCTTAAGGCCTGGTCTAGTCCAGTCTCTATGAGTGATTTTCAGCTTGTATGTATTAACTTTTGTTTTCAGTCTTCATTTTCATTATAACAACCCAATGAACTCAAGCCATGACTGGTATGAAACAGAGATGTCATTGTACCCCATCATGTTAGCTAAATATAGCCACTGTCCTTGTCTGACCATTCCACTGATTTCCCCTGAGGGCAGACCCTGCCGGGCCCCGGACTGAGGCCCTCTTATCAGCACAATGAACCACGACACAGCTCAATACACATGGTGTGAATGGCACATATACTGTAACTGTAGATTGGTGACGAACAGGAAACACAAAAATATCAGCTAAGAGGATAACACATGAATCATGTCAGCATAAAGAGACACTCACACACTTGATGTAACAGGTTACAGAACTGTGAGGGTGCTACATCTGGGCAAGAGTGTAAGCTTGGCTCTGCTAAAAAATAATAAACCCAATTCCCAACAATATCTCCCAACTCCACACTCCTTCTTTTGAACAACAACCAGTAGTAAGTACTGATTTCAATACATGTAAAAACAGGAAGATGTATATAATGAAACTAAAAAAGGAATTTAGACAGAAACACAATCTCTAAATTGAACACAATAAAGAAATTTACACTCCAAGAGCGTCCTACATTTGCTGAAGGCAGCATCTTGTAACTTGTCTTGCCGTTTTTAACCATGACAGCTTTCCAATTTTAGAGATATCCTCAAACAGACATTAGAAAAGATCTGGGTCGACTTGAAATGTACAAAGGTGCTTTCAAATAAACGATAGCCAACACTTTACTGTTGCTTGGCAAGGCAGTCATTTTTGCCAGATGACAAAACTTCAGGAGGTGACAACTAATCAGTTAAAGCTCATGAAATTCTCACTTTGAGTTTTCAAGGATACATGAGACTACTGTCCAAGCCTGAGAGATTTGTTCTTCTTTTAAGAGCAAGCAGACATAAAGTGGCTCTGAAATTCCCTTTGATGTGTCTGTCTTCAGCTATAGAAGCCTTCAAAGCCAGATGTGGAGTCCCTGTCATTTTCCAGTAGTGTTAATAGTCCCATCTCTTGGGGCTGGAGCAGGGGAGGGGCTAGCTATTCTCTGCTTCACATGCACCACTAAATCACCATCCTATAAAACCAAAGATTAAAGCTATATGTGCACATATGTGACTCGTGTAGACAAATAAAAGTCAGGCCTTAAAACATGTACGTGAATATAAGTTAACACTTCAAATCACTGCTTTCATCATGGACCACTAAGAAGTCTTTTTAAAGATCTTGACTTTCCAAAGTGAATACTATGTAATGCATTTCAAATGGAAACCACCTTCTATACCCCATTACCTCTATGAAATGAACTTAACATACAAACATAAAAACCTGACAGGATATGTTGTGGCTCTTATCTCTAATACTATGCTGTTCTGTTTCATCTGAACCTTCACCTTAATATTAACTACCCAATATGTACACATATTGGAAGACTGGAGCATGAGGACATGAACTTGGGCAAGATTGCTGCAAATAATATTCTGCCTTCGGCTTGCATTATCATAGTGTTAGTAACAGAACTTTTGGAACATTTTTAACCTCTAGAGGAGCTGTTATTTGTGTTTCATTAAACATTAAAGGTTAGCTTGAAGGTGTCCTGTGGAGTTTTTGACCACCAGTGGAACAAAACAATGTTTTAATATGACTTACTCTCTGTTTTGACAACCTTGTGCATGAGCGAGGAGAAAATGTGCACACTCAGAAGTGCTCATTCTTGTCGCCTCATTCCACTGGTCTATAGGTGGCAGTAGTGGGCCAAGTTCCTTAGCAACACCCAAGTAAAGGCAGAGAAGAAAAATGCATGGCAGTAGGCATTGATGTTACCACTTGGTGCTTACATATTGCCAGTTCAAGGCGGGATATTTACAACACAGTTACGATTAGCCTGCAACGTGTAGCGCATGGGAGACGGATTGTGAGGTAAAGTTGTTCCACACCTGGTCCGCCATCGGGGATAGCAACAGAACCATAATCAGGGGGAAGATGGTGGCGATGTGTGATGCTGCAGCCAGCATGGTGTAACATGCCGTGCCTCTTGTGCAGGCCATAACGCAATGTGACACCACACTCTGGAACACCAACATGACAAAACACAAATGTTACGTAAGCTAAGCAAGAAAGTATGTGATGTGTTTACATGCAGCAGAAATGAAACATGACTGTGTCACACATTTCAGATAGTGGATGTGTTCTTCTCCGATACATTTGTACCCACTTCACACAGGACTCTGTCAACACAAGTTTAGCTATCTGTACAAATGACCTCAAAACTCTGAAATCCTTAATGTGAAGTTTAAACCTTACATATCTTAAATGACAAACATGAAACTTCAACTAGAGTGAGAGTATGTGGATCTGTGTGTGTGTGTGTGTGTGTGTGTGTGTGTGTGTGTGTGTGTGTGTGTGTGTGTGTGTGTGTGTGTGTGTGTGTGTGTGTGTGTGTAAGTGTATACACACAGGTGATTCAATTGCTGCAAGGCCTTAATCTGCCCCAGAGACTTCTGGTCTGCCAAAGAGCAGACAGCATGAGTTGACCCTTGCCTGTCCATGTGTGTGTAATACATGTGTGTGGCAGACAAACAGCACAGTGGGGGTAAGAGGGGGAAATGGTGCAGCTACTGATAAACCATTTAGTGCTAAAGCCATGTCTGCCCACTCCCCTCTCTTCCTCGCTCTCCTTTATCAGCAGAAACTGTCACTTCTTCCTTTCTCATAGTTCTCCTTGTTCTCTCTTTGACTGCAAATATCCACATTAGCATTTCCTTGATGCACTTCACATCATCTTTCCCTTTTCCTATTGTGACGAACCCACTGATGGTAAGGGTAGCTGCATTAATACCTCACATCTAACACCACTAGAAGCTTATAGCACAAAAGCTGACTCACATTAACCCTTCACACATATGGACAAACCTGGAGAGTGGGTGGTGCTTAGCTGGTGCTGGGCTACACTTGTTCGCATAGTTAATTGGGCTACTGTGTCACAGGGCTCCTGCGGTCTTAAGGAGCAGCGCACAGACCAGAATAAAGAGAGGTAATCTCTTCTAAGACCACAGCATCCATCTGTGAGGGCCATCTGGACACCACCTCACAATACACACACACACACACACACACACACACACACACACACACTCACTCACTCACTCACTCACAATGCAGCCTGCAGCAACTCTGGAGACTGCACAGACAGAACATGGCTCTAGCCAAGCGTTTAGTAACTAATGGTTTAAAGAACTGCTGCCTGTGTGACTTCTGGCATCACTTGACACTCACACAAATACACACAAACATCATCTCATCATCACAGACTCACACTTGAAACTTCATTTCAATCAAACTGGAGAATACCTCTGCCATCCAAAAAACTGAATAAACAAAAGGTCGACACATGACCGAAAGCTCTTTGACAAATTAATGTTGGATATGTGTTTTGTGTGTGTGTGTGTGTGTGTGTGTGTGTGTGTGTGTGTGTGTGTGTGTGTGTGTGTGTGTGTGTGTGTGTGTGTGTGTGTGTGTGTGTGCAAGACAGAGAGAAAGCCCTGTTCACTCTTAGATCACTGAGCTGTGAGGAGCCACATGGCCCTGATCAATAATAAAACTCACAAAGGCTGCAATCAAAAAGAAACACACATCAATGCCCTCACACACAAATACAAACAATACAGAGTGCTCTTCAACAGTAAGATCACATATACAGATGTTTACTGTCACATAAGCCCTATCCAGACTGCGATATTTACACACTGTGACGTTTCGCCTTCGATCTGAATGTAGAGAAGGCGTAATGGGGGGACGAAGGGATCCATCCTCTGTACACTCTTCTTAGGTAGTAACAGAGGTGTTACAGAGTCAAGACGGTTATAATGAAGCCAGCGGGGGAGCGCTGCGCTGTGTGTGTGCATGTCTGACTGTGTGTGTGTATGTGACGCTCCTGCTGTGCTCCCAATTCTGCAACGCCGGAACGCAATGTGAATTCACAGACTGGGACACCAATATTACGCCGTTCCAGAATCAATATGAATGTACGAAGGCGTGATGACCGCTGAGCTTACATACAGCACTTTAGTGAGGGGAAAAAAGCCGTCTGAAAAGGGTTTGTAACACGCAACATCTTATTTCAGGATAGTGTGTGCTGTTCTGATCGATGTCTCCCTGAGAATGACAAATCAACTCCTCTCTGTTTCCCCACCTCCAGTCTCATTCTATTAACCCCACCCCCCACACACACACACAAACAACCACTCAACCAGTGCTGGTCCATGGCAGACAGATGTGGTGCTAGGAAGCACAAAGCCATGCTGAGTTGGCCTATTGAAACATTTGTCAGGCCCCTCTGGGAGGCCACGCAGATCACTGACCACTGTGTGTCACACACACACACACACACACACACACACACACACACACACACACACACACACACACACACACACACACACACACACACACACACACACACACACACACACACACACACACACACACACACACACACACACACACACACACACACACACACACACACACACACACACACACACACACACACACACACACACACACACACACACACACACACACACACACACACACACACACACACACACACACACACACACACACACACACACACACACACACACACACACACACACACACAAAGACCTCCTTTGCGTGTGACTCCAGCACACGCTGCCTCTCATGGGATCCATCTGAAGAGGACAGAAGGTTGACCTCAAGGCTCTCCACTCTTCATTTCTTTCATCTGTGTTCTTTTCAACTTCATCAGTGTCAACAGGGTTGCAAATATTAATTTCAAATCGGCCGACTTTGTGGCAAGGTCAATGACATCAGAGGAATCAAGCAAACATTAGGAGAGCTTAAATGCCTTAATTTAGACTTTAACCTATGACGTCAGCTATCCAAAAAAAAAAAAAAAAACTTCATAATAACTATCTTAAGACTGTATATATTTGTGAATATTTTCTATACTGTTTCCATAAGGCATTGCTGCATATCAATGAGCAGTAGGTTTTACAAACAACTGCCAGTAAGCTTGAAATGGAGACAGTGAGTGTTACATATGTAAATGATTAGTAAGAAACAGACAACAAGTAGAGATTTCAGCCCTACAAATCATTAATAAATACTAGGAGTGACCCAACCACACTGCTGGGAACCATGTTTGTGAACTTTGTCTGAGATGCTACTGGAGAATGTGTGAGCCCTCCAAAAAGCCAGGAACAGTCCCAACATGACGCTAAATGCATGACAAAGACAAAGAGAAACATGAGTCTAAATCTAATGCTGTATTTTAAAGGACTGTGCTAATAGGAAACTGGCATCACTGGCCATTACAAACTTGAATTCCTGAGAGGGTAAAGAAAACATTGCACATAGTCACAACATTCCCAGTGTGGTGGTGTTATGTGTGTTTGATGTGACAGAAAATGAGCCATGAGAAGGGGGTCCGTTTGTTTCTGTTAATAGATGTCTTTAAGTGACAGGGTTAATTCATGTGTTGTTCCCTAACTTAACCATGAGAATAGGAACCTGGGAAAGGGCCAAACTTACAAACACACAATATCATCAAGATTTAAACAAACACCCTTATGCACGTGACTCAAACACACCCTCCTCAGGGGACCTGTGTGGCTGCCTCCACCCATTACACAGCATGCTTACAAATATCCCATGAGTGTGTGTGTGTGTGTGTAAGTGAGAGAGACCAAGGGAGGAGTTATGGGCTGGTACGTGGGGGGAAGTGACAACACCACATCCCCACCCACACACCTCCCGTACCCCCTCATTACAGTCCCAAAGCTGCCATGAGGGGACTTAAAGAGAAACAGTTAGGTCCCCTCGTGTCCTTTTTTCCCTTCCATCCACTTCTCCGTCTCCACTGCCACCACCAACCCCCACCCACGGCCCCCAGATAACACCATGCAATTAGTGGCTCCCCACTCTCTTCTCATTCACTCCCTTTCTTAACGTCTACATTTATATCTACATCTCTCTGTCATTGCTCCCAGTAAGTCTCTTTCCGTCAAACTTCCCAGTTGAGTATGAGAGAGACTACAGACACACCCAAAACATTATCCCACCAAGCAGCCCTGGATTATCTGACTCTTTTTCTGAGCCCGCTTGTTTCCTATCCATTTCTTTTCCTTCCCTAACTCCTTGCTCAAAATTGCTGTGACGAGCCACCAATGAAAGCTGCACTGTAGATGTGTTCACATGCCCATGTACCCACTTTCTGTCCAAAGGGCTTCCTCTGTTGGCTAAATGTTTTTTTTAGAATCCATGTCACAGAAGAAAAAAAAATATCTTCAAGAGCTATGAGGTGTGAAAAGTCTTCCTTGAGGTTCAGAGAATCATAGACTGTAAATATATAATGGAGGAAGCCTGAGTGACGTCACCTTACCTGTTACTGCAGGGGGCTTTGGAAGCGGTCGCCATGCTGGAAATGCTTTCTCACCCCAACTTTCTGTCAACCTAACAAGAGGCTAACAGCTGGAGCTGAGGCAGCTTTAAAGCCTCTTCATTTAAGGTTTTTATGTATTTCAGAAAGTTCACATTAGGCGTTTTTCGGACTACAGGAACCTTTTCATAGTTCTAGGAACTTTTGGAACCCTCCCCCTTTTTGACTGATTCTCTACCGCAGGAACCATGAACTATTTTAGTTCCTAGTATCCCTCTTAGAGGAACCTTTTTAGCCTACCATGGTGATGCGAATGCAGACAGAAAAAAAAGTCCCCACAGTGTGTAGTTCTCAGGGAACTCAGAAATTTTTGGTCCAAAAACACCTATCGTCAGAATCCAACAAATTCAGTTTGGGCCGGTTATAACAGGATTGATCAAAGTATCTTTAAATATATTTCCGTCATTTTTCTCAAACTTAACTGTGATTTTAAATGCAAAACTTGAGCTACAGTATGATTTGAATGCACTACTTTACCTGTAATGAATTATTGTATTGTCACTAAAATAACAGATCTGGGCATGTCTCTAATAAGTACCACGACTTTCCAAAGCACCAGAATCCTTCCTCTCTCACAGCCTCGTAACAAATCAAACCTCAAATCAGAGTGAAATGATGACAAACAAAGAAACAGAAATGAATATTTTGCTAGAATTAGTCGATGCTATTGACTAGTTTCAGTGAGGGTTAGACAAAGACAAAGACATCCACACACACACACACACTCCACATTTTCATTTATTTTCATTAAGCTGGAGTGGCTCCCCACAGCAGGAAAACTGCCCACACAGCAGGAAAATGTGAATATGCTGAACATCCATCATCAGGATTTGTTGCTCAGTCTAGTGTTTAAAAAAATAAATAATTACAGACATCAACATTCTGCCTGCTCCTCACCTGTGGACGTAGTGTAGTTGGTGAACGGAGTCGATGGCCAGCACCATCTCAGCCAGGTAGAACTTAGCCATCTCTTCAGGCAGACGGTCTTCAAACTTACTTAGCAGAGTGAGCAGATCTCCACCCACATAGTAGTCCATGACCAGGTACTAGAAAAGAAGAAGAGGCAGGCAGAGAGGAAGAGGATGAGAGTTAACATCAATGACAAGACTCAAAAAAGGAGAAACAATGGTGAAGACTGAAATAACTTAATTTAAACAACAAGACATGTAGTGCGAACCAGTGAGATGATTTATGTAGAAAACACTCAAATACAATCACACAGACGTCACAAATATGGAGCACTCCTTCCTCCCACCCCCTCACTCTACTCTCCATTTTTGTTTTCCACAAAGTATCATTACTTCAGAGGGGCACTGAGGCTTTTGACTTTTGAGGCTTTTTACTAAAAATAGATGTCTGGTCAGGCAGCGATGTATATTTTTAAAGCTTGGGGAGTGTCCAGCGTGAAGCATTTGTTGTGAGAATGTGGGAAATGGAATGACAAGCAGTCCTGGCATTTGAACTCAGGGTCACACAGAGAGGACAGACTGTCAGCATGGAAAGAGTACGATTGCCTCCAGCAGCCAATGAAAGCTGAGAAGAGCTTGGCCGACGACCCAGTCAGCGAGCTCTAAAGTCATTCTTTTGGTTTTTACATAAATGTTTTCTGGCGGTGTTAACTGCTGTTGCCCAGTTTCCTTCAATTCTAAGTCATATTGTACTTTGTGGTAAGAAGTGAATGTGCTGTTCAGCGCCTGGCAGGTCACCAGCCATCATGCAGAGCCAGTGCTGTTTTCTATAAATGAACTCGCCAGTAAAGGGTGAGAAAGGCAGGTGGAGCTACACAGTAGACCACTGTGGTTGTTTCTTTGGAAAGTACCAACGTTTGAATGTGTTGAAAGTAGGTATTATGGTGGGGGGGGGGGCAATACTCCAAAGTCAATCAGGAAAGGTTAAAAGTTGCTTGTGATAGGTCAACATTAAAAAAACTGGAAGGAGAATTTCATGGAATACACTGAAGGGTGTCAGTGTAAAAAAAACAACAACAGCTTGATCATGAATATACACATTTTAAAGGAGAAAAGGAAAGAGAAGGCCGGGTTACCAGATTATTGTCGTCTTGGAAGGCGTAGTGCAAGGTGGTGATCCACTGGCAGTCCCCGTTTACCAACACATCGCGCTCCTCACGAAAACACGCCGTCTGAAGAGAGACACCATGAAAGTCACGCTTAAAGTAAACACCTTCTGATTCAAATGTTGAATGGAATACAGTCAGTGCTCTGACCCAAGGACTCAAGAGCATGAGGTGGCTTGTTGTTTATTTAGCTTAGTATTGATCCTCTGTGTACATTCACATTCATTCATAACCATTAATAACCTGGCTGATGTTACCTTTCTGCAGTTACCGGATTTCTCAAAGATAACATAAACAGGAAAGTTCTTCTTTGAATGAAACTGAAGGGAGAATGCGAGTTTTCACAGATGACACCTGACTGCTTGGCCATTTACAGTTTAACATCTAAGGGGTATTAACAAGGCTCAGTCCCCTTTCACCCCTTACCCCTACCCCTCGTTTTCGAGTTCCACGTTACCCCTTTGAACAGGGCTGCAAGGGCTAGAGGTAAAATCCTTCCCCTATGACATGGGACAACCCTTCCAGAGCCGGATACGTCAAAGGACGCGACCAAGTTGCTGGTCTTTCCCAATATGCAGTATATATTCACAGTATATATGTGTTACTGGCCTTTGTGTGAGCTATGGGCAGATTTATGTGCTTGTCAGCATATGTATAGAACAAAGACCCATAACCTAGTGAGGAAAGCCAGACTACTTTGAGTATTGGGTTGGACTTTTTCAAAAATAACAATAACAAGAACAAGACATGATCACAAAGAAAAATATGTGTTGTTCTAAACACACCGAGAACTCTTCCTGATCTGTCAGTCCGACTGCCTCAACTAGCTATGAACGTAATATTCCTCAGGCTACAATGTCATGGACTACAAATACGGCTGCCTTTGTAAAAAAAAAAAACAACAACATCTAACTGATCAGCTTCTTGGACAAAAACAACATCATAACATCATAAGTTGTTTTCTGATCCTGATCCTCAACATAATGACCCTGGTGTCATGTGTGCACGGAACTGGTTTGCAGACGATGATAGTTTCTCGTTCATGCTCGAAGAAAAAAGGAAACACTTTTCTATTTTTAAGAGTAAAGTACATTTCATTGATCACAGATGGATTTCTGTTTAGTGTTTGTAATGTTGATAAACTGAGTGTGCATAGGGTGGCCTGGGCACTGCCACCTTTAAAAGAAATAAGGCGAGCAATTCCTTTTTTTTTTTTTAACCATTTTTTAATTCCCTGATCAGATGAAATGATCCAATCCGTGAATCAAATCTTTGATCAGATCCAGAGGAAAATAATCCGTAATTATCTCAAGTAAATCGTCTAAAACAAACGTGCATGTGAAACCCAAACACAGTTTATTATTTTGGCGAGTAAAAATATGCTTGACTTGTGAATTTTTCATCTACCTGCCGCCTTGACTGCTGAGTCAAAAGGTTCGTGTCTCCGTCTACAGTCACAGTGATATGCTCCGTGTGCACTGTCTGCACATCTGCTGCACTACACTGTTTCCCATGTCCAGGCATTTGCGAATGCAGCAGGGACTAGTTTTGGCCTATGACGTATGAGGCATGAAGACTGAAGACCCAGGGGAGCGACAGGAATGTCAGACTGTCAGGAAGAGGTCAATGAAAAACAAAAACCTGCAGCTTGTGCAGCTCGAGCAGAAACATGTTCTGCAAGCACTGATCAATAAAGGCCTGATATGAATTTAAATAAACTGTTCTGTGGTTTCTATTGTCAGTGGACAGATTTTGAAGTCTATCTTTGTAATTGTTTAATAGATTTCCCCTCCACCGCTGCAAAGGCCCAAGTACACAAAGTGATGCTCACCTCCGCTCGCTTCAGCATCTCCCACTTGTTTAGAATCTTCATAGCGAATACCTTGTCAGTGTTTTTAACTTTTACGACTGCAACCTGCAAAAGAAAAAGACAAAAGGAAAAGACAAGAGTTAATAACATGTTTGAATCATTTGTATGAAAGCAATAACTACTTAGCTAATCATGTGAAGCATGTTGAAAACATAAAGCAACAGGAAAATAACCTATTTTATATCTAATCGCTGGAGCAACAAGAAACTGAAACACAAGTACATGATGATAGAGCGCGGGGCTAAGTCCACAAACAACAGATAGACAGAGTACGAAGCAAAAAGGCTTCTTAAAGAAACAATGTGTGACTTTTTGAGCCAGTAGATGTCGCCCTTAAGCGTGAAGCAGACTAATGGTAGCGCTCTGTTGTTAGCTCGTAGCTTCACATTGCATGTACTTTTACACAGAGTGACCGTGATCTAAATACACTTATGTGACATTCAAATAAGAGTACAGTATTGTATTCTATCTAGTCCCTCACTTAAACAGCTTTATACGCAAGGGGATGAGCCGTCCCGTCCATGTGAACACGATGTAAATGCAGCTCGGACATCACAGAGAGCGGGAGTGGAAGTTCATGGCACTAAGTCATTGAACTTAAGTGTCTAGAAGAGTCCATCAAAAGTTAAAAAAAAAAAAAGAATAAAAGAGTGGCACTGAGGGAAAACGGGGAGAAGTTGATGAAAACAGCTGACCAGATAAACGGATGGAAACCCCTGAGGTGAAGAAAAGACAGACTGCAGAGTAGAAGAAAAGCAGCGGAGGGGAAGATCACAGGCAGGAAGTGACTACAGATACTCAAGTGCTGACCTAAAAGGACAACAGATGCTCTCCACCTGGATACACACTTACACTCTTCCCCCCCACACACACACGTAAATATGATTCATGCTTCCTCCTTGCACGATCTGCAGTAGAAATACAAAAAAAAAAGAAGCACTCTCACAACCGTGTCCAGTCATTTATAAATGGACACAGATCAAAGGTTAAAGGACTGATTTGCACAGATGAGATGTTTGGAAGCGAAACGATGAAAGGTTCATGGAAAGGATTAAATACAAAATTAGTCTAAACAAGTCTGTTTTTCATGATCTATCAACACAACGTATCAAGCAGCTGTTCAAAAATTAGCTCACTTTATCCAACTCATTCATACATGGCTCAAAGTACCATGTGGCAAGCATCAGATAAGGCACCTAAAAACAATATTTGTTGTCTAGGTAGAGCTAGAGTGCCTGACACTTGTAAATGGTTAAAGGACTTGGACGCCATGACAGACATGACATGTTTATAGTTGCCATGGAAACACCAGAAGTTACGCCAAAATTGCTGCATAAGGAAGCGTGAGCTGCTGCTGAAAGCTGCCGTACTGTTCCTGTATGTGCTGCTGTGATGAAAACATCATGTGAATTATACTTACATACATCGTCAGTAAACATATTCTCTTCCTCAGGTCGGTTTTACTAAGTCAACGCTGAGTTCATTTTCATCGGCGTCATCTTCTGTTATTGTTTTGATTGAGAATTTACATACTGTGGGTTTAAGATGACTTCTGACTTTGCATTTTTATTTTAACTAGATTATGATACAACTTAAACTTTCCTTGTTTTTTATGGTCTTCTGATATTTAACTTTTTTCAGTGTAAACAGTATGTTTAGTAAGTGGCTGCTGTTTTTGCCGATGCAAAGTCTTCTTGATATAAAATATATAAAAATGTTTAAAGCATAAATGCTCCCATTTCAAAGAGTCCTTTTTAGTGACATAATTCATGTATGAAGGAATTAAAGTCCCAGCTGTATCTATTGTGAATCTAAACAAACACAAAATCACAGCTAACATCACCCACTACTATAAATGTATGTTAAAGTCAATACTGGCCAACCTTTAGGTAACTATAACTCATGTTCAGTTGAACAAACTACCTGCTTTTACCCCTTAGATAATAAGTCCTTACAATCCAACCTTTGTTCTACAATCTCACAAACTGAACCGTGTTTAAGCTGCATCACTCTGTTTGAAAAATGACTTCCATGCTGGAGATCTAAAAAGCTACTGCTTGGCACTGCTGCCTCTACTTTTCTGTTTGTCATACCCTCATGTACCGTCTCAACAACATAACAACTGCCAACTTTCCCCTCCCTGATAATTGCTGAACAGTACCATGTCAAGCTTCCTCGGCTCTGCCTCCACATTTTGCCAAAAAAGGAGCTGCACAAGCTGCTGTGACAAACCACTGCAGCTGACTCCCAGAGCACATGTTCATGCAGGCCTCCACAATGGCTGATTTCTTTTAAACCTTCTTCACATATTTTTTAATAAACTGTAAAGCATCGGTCTTTTTTAAATTTTATTTCTTTATTGTATACAAAGATATGGATTCATAGAAAAGGAAAAATACACATGGAAGTAAGCAGACGGAGGAATTTGTAAGTGTCCTGGACAGACAGACGCACAGACAGAAGACATGTGAAACAAACTCAGGCGTCCCATGCAACAGAGGGGTCTGTAGTCTATTAAATGAGCCGGGGAATGCTGCTAATGCAATACAATGATAACATTCCTGCAGTGTTTGGATTTCCCCTAGTGATCCCTCGGCAGAGAAGAAGAGGAGCGAGGAGGAAGAGAGAAAGAAGAGAGGAGGAGGAGGAGGAGAGCAAACTGTTCTTGGCCATTACTGAATGTTTTTCTCTTTTCTGCATCTCTTTTCTTCACTGTTCCTTCCTTCAGTTCTTCCTTCCAGTCAAGTCTAGTGTCACGTACAGATCCAAGAAAAGACTGATAGCATTGTTTACTCCAATATCACAGGATACAGCTATTATGGATACAAGTTGTTGTTCTCCTTTGTGCTGCCATTGAAGAGGATTTGTCTCTACTGAGTGTGGTGGACTGATCACTGAAAATGTGCTTGATCTTGTTTGCTGGTATTTAATAAAGTGTAGTTTATCTAATTAGTCAACAGGCCAAATATTTGATGGTATCAAAGTCAGGATGAAATCAACACATCTATCTGCAAAAAGCAGACAAACAATCAAGCAGTAGAATAATGTATCACACTGAATGACGGTTAGTGACTCATTCATCGCTAATGTGATGACATCTAAAGCCAGGCTAGACACACCAACAGAGCCCGGGCTAATGGGAGCCTTTTCAGAGGCGGGAGGTCACTTGTCCATTCATCAGACGAGCCCTGAATGTCACAAACCTCGGCCATTTCTCTGCCTACTGCTGACAATGGGAGGATGGAATCAAAACATCCTGCATTCAAGCTCTCTCGCCCTCCTTTCTGACTCTCAAGCTTTTTATTCTTGACTTTCTTTTCATTTGTTCCTCCACCTGGGTCGGTCTACACCTCTGTCTTTGTGACTCTCTGAAGCCATCCCAGTTCTCTTAATACTCCTACTCGTTTGTGTTTAGCTGATCTGATCTTTGGTCAGAGTGGCTGTCAAAACATTCATCCAACTGGAACTTGGTAAGTGATGCTAGGAGCGTTAATAAAGTGGTGTTTGTGCTCAGCAGTGTGAAACACCTCTGAGGTGTCTTAAGATGACAGTACTAACACACCTGAACTGAAAACTGTCAAACTGACTTCAGGTTCATGTTTTCTGTCAGTTAATGCTATTTATGCTGTCAACCTGCATATTTATGTACCCCTCAAAACTGCTCCATGCCTCTTTGATACTAAGGCTTAAAATGAAAAGAAAAGGCACATAAAAACGTTTATAATAAAATGGTTAATTTAATTTATATTACCAACCCATCCATGGTGCCAGTAGAGAATATGTCCCATGTTAATAAAAAGGCATGATCAATACAAATTTCATGACAAAAAAAAAAGTGGATTAATTTGGAAAACGATTCATCTCACTCACCTCTGAAGACTAAGGGTTTGAACCTTTTAAAATCTCATGATTCGATTCCAACCGATTCCTGATGGCATTCCCCGTTTGTTACAAAGAGATGCTTATTTCAGGATCTACTCCAGTCTGCTATGATACGATGTACTTCACTTTCATTTCGCAGACGCTTCATACTGAATACGTCTAGTAAAGCTTCCTCTTACCTGGGGGATCTTATAGTCTTATAGACATATTGTCTATTTTAAATAGAGCTTGTTCTTCTGATAAAATCTAATTTGCGATGTGTTGATTTGGCGAAGAAGTATTAAAGTACCATTAAGTTTGACAACCGTTATCTAATTTCCATCTGCACCATTTTTACAGTTTCAGTCGAACTATTCAGCAAACAAGTAATCAGCCGTTACAGATAGTGGTACAAAGTGTGACACCAAACCAAAGGTGTTCAACTACTCAACTACTCCTTCAACCGCTTACAAACCACCAACACAACATGTCAGTCAGCTTAGGTTGACCTTGTCCCATGTTTTGGAATGTGGATTCCGTAAGTATTTTTCTGTTGGGTAATTCACGAGTCCCTGGCCCTGTGACCACAATGATGTCTCTGAAGCTAACCTGATTTATCCGTCATGTTTAACTTGCACTTGCACAGCTAAGTGAATAAGCACTAGAATGTCGCCACAAGGTAGCACCATTCATGATTCACACATCCCTCAGCAAAACAGGCCCTGAAACAAACACACACACACACACGCACACACACACGTTTGTATTTTGGCGTGATGTGATGGTACTGCAGCTACATGCAAGCAGGCAGGTGTGCCCACATCCATCTCAATCTATCAATCTTTTCTTTTACAGTGTTGGTTTATCTCTCCGCCTATCAGAGCGTTGTAAAAGGAACTCAGGAATTCACTAACTTGTTTGTACAGATGTCGTATAACAATTTAAGAGATGAAATGTTTCCAGGCATTTAGCATTCAATTCACAGCAGTAACCCAACTTTTTCTGATCATCTAAAAAGGGGCAAATTATTCTATACCAATAGAAAGGTTGTCAGCAGATGTACAGATGTAAGGTCTTTGCAGGACACTGACATTATGCAAGAGACTTGGCTGAGGACCACAATACCTGTCCCTTCAACATTCTCCAGCTTTGACATCATTACCTGAAACCGTGTGACAAAAGTATTTCAACCTCCCTACAGGCATAAAACAGCCGATCACTAAATAAATAAACACATGTAAAGCCACACTGGATGCTTTCACAGGACAGCGGAGTCATTTACTGCTCAGGGTTAAGTGTAAAGAAGAATTCAAATGTTTTGTTCAAGCTGCAAGTACAGTCATGCTCAGCCTCATGCAGAGGACTAGTAGTGCGCAGTGCTGCTGGAATGTAGTAGAAAGTAATCTACTATCAAACACAACAACACCCTCCACCTTAATAACTGAGGTATTAAGATATAAGAGAGAACAACCTTTTACTGGCTGGTATTAACTACACATCAATGTGTGAATTATTCCCAGAGGCAGAACTTCTCCTCTCTTAACAGACACTTTCATAAAGAAGAGTACACAGCAGGCGATGTGTCTATGAGAGAACTACAAGCTTAACCTATAACACCTGTTTCTTGTGCAAAAGAGAAAAAAGGGGAAACCCAAATTGCAGGTTCTCAACCTGTAAGGTAATTGATTACTGCATGGTTTCGTCAAGCGTAAAAAACCAAAGTGTATAGTACCTCTCCGAAGGCTCCTCGTCCAATCACCTTAAGGATCTCAAAGTCTTCCTTGTGCAGGCGCATCTGCTTCACTTTGGAAGTGAAGGGTTTAGCTGTTGAGAGAAACAAGAGAGATGTAACGTTAGTTTAAAATGTATTGTGATAAGTGATGCATGATAGACTTTGAGTGAAGAGGATAGATTGATCTAAAACACACATCGAGGTTCCACAGCATGTCCTGCACAGGTGAATATCAAGCACTACCAGAGATTAATACTTCTTACATTAAAGTGTCTGTGAAGGTTCTCAGTCATCCAGATCATAGTAACTCTAAGATTATTCAACAAGGTAACTGCAACTATTTATTTGCCTGAAATAAATATTGTCCAAAATTGAACACCACTTTTTGGACATACATTACAAAGACAAACACAAAACTGAGGATAGTAAATTATCAGCGGTTGGACAAATGTTTCTATCAATAAAGCACTGAGTTAAAGTAACTTAAAAGTGTGTATTGACCCACTGAGAAACAGAATCTCTTTTGTTGGAGTCCTGGCCAAGACAGCAGCAGAAAGAATTTGCATAAAAGAACAAAAATAAAAACTTTTTAAGGAAGATACGCCAAATGCAAATTCACCAAACAATGAAGCAGCCGCATTAAACAGAAAAAAAAAGAAATAGGAAACAAATGGCATGCCTGCATGCAGTATCACAGCATTCAATTACTGATAGAAATGTTGCTTAAATAAGCATCTTTGCTGGAAAAAAGTTTGGGGGTTTTTTCCCAAAGAAGAATGACCCTTTTTTTGCCTTTATTTCAGAGATAGGATGGTGGATAGAGTTGGAAAGCGGGGAGAGAGAGTGGGGCAGTGTGAAAGTAGCCGCAGGCCAGTTTTGAACCCAGGCCGCCCGCTTCAAGGACAACAGACTCTGTTCATAAGGGAAGGCGAACCTACATTGAACTTGAAATGATTAAAGGGTAACTAAACCCCATATTTTCAGCTGTACTACTGTACAAAGATGATTCTTGATTACTCTAGAAGTAGTTGGGGGCGCTGGTAGCATAGTGGTAAGTGCGCACGCCCCATATACAGAGGCTATAGTCTTCAAAGTGGGCGACCTGGGTTTGAATCAAAAAATGAAATACCTAAAATAAAGGCACAAAAAGCACAGGCTTAAGGACATGTGTTACAGTCATTTGGTAACCCACAAGAACCCTAAATGTTTCCATAACCCGTGCAAGGCTACCATCCCATTCTAAATGTATGTTTTTCATATTGTTGGTGACCACCTGTACCCCTGTACAGCAAATGACCCCCGGACACAGAGAGACTGGATGATAAAGCTGGCTATTGTTCCGCCTGCAGCTATGGTTCCTTGTGGAAAAATGACCTGGGAGGGATCTGTGGGGGTAGCCAGCGTCCTCTCACAAGGCTAAACAGATTCCATCTAAGGCTAACAAAGTCAGCATTTCCCTCATTTGTGAAGAGCTATTCAACCACTTCCTGGTTTACATGATCCCAGCAGGCCAAGGATAACCTGAATTGGCTGCCAGTTCACTAAGGTCAGTCTAATGGTTAAACTGATACGTGTTCTGATAACAAAGAGAAGAACAACAGAACTTTTTGTTTCAAGAGCTGCCTGTCACCATGTGAGTAGTTTTGTGCTTCACAGCAGCAAGATTAGCCTCATTTTAGCATCACTAGCATACAGACAAGGAAGCAAGCACATTTCAACGTGTGACATTTACATACAGGCGCACTTTTGGGTAATAAAAGACTACATCTAGTCATCTACATCTCCAACTCATCTTTCAAAGTTGTCTTGCATTTCTTTCTGTTTGTGTGTTTGTATAGTGAGTCAGCTGTCTTACAGCAAAGCTGACACTCTTGGCCCATCTCCACTCCCTCACTGACAAAACATCATTCCAAACTCATCTTATTGCGGTGACTTAACAGAGCTCCTGGTGTTGAGGAAAGGACAATCTTCCACTGTGAAACAGAGACATGCCTGCTGGAAGTGAACAGACAGGTCACTCACAGCTCTCTCACTTCCACACTCCCATCCTGAATCCTTCCTCACAGCTGACCTGGCCTGCTATGACCACAGGGCAGAGGGAAAGCAGGACCGGTGGAGTGTGCCTTCCCCCCGACATGCACTACTACTGAGCATTGGCACACATCTTTAGGAGGGTGATTTAGCGACAGGCAGTTTACCAAGACTTCACCACAAATCTGCAAAATGATGATGAACAAGACTGTGGCAATTAACCCAACTGGTCTTTTCTTACAAAGTGCCCTTTGTGCATCCTTGCCTCCCGTTCTTCTTCTTGGAAATTGGAATGATAGGCTGTTAGATAATGATTTATTATCTAACAGCCTATTATTTCATTTTCAACAAATACCCCGAAACTAGGACAGAGAATGATCCACGGCATGCTGACCTGGAAAGCCCAAAAGATTGCTTGCCCATCCTATCAGATCCAAACAGCAGCTAAGACATTTGTAATATGGCTGGCAGGCAGAATAAACTCTCTACTTTCAATCTAATGCACATTTAATTTACTGGACCACCAACCACAAAACCCATCTCAATCTATGAAGAAGGGATAACTCAGCATGTGATATTTAAACGTTTGTTTCTGTTGAAGAAATCTTGGAGAAACTGGACTCCTAGTTTAATTAATAAAGCACAAGACTGGTTGCTGGTCTCAAAGACAGATTCATAAGCAACTATTCAGAATTACCAACATTTTGCTCTGAGCTTGTGGCCATTTTCACCACACATCCATTTCCTGTAACTGCACCAGCATCCTAAATCTGACAGTCAATGCATGCAGGGGATTCACATTTTCTGGCAGGGTAATCCATATAATGCCATACTATTTTGCAGAGTTAAAACAATAAACAATAAGATAAGAAGTGAGTTATTTCATACAGATGTTTTTCACTTTTACAAACTCTTCCTATAGTTGCACTTCTAAATTGTTTTAACCAGCATTCCTAAATTGAATGTCAGGATCAGGATGTGTGGCTACAATAGACTTTTTACACAAGTAATAACTCATGTGCATTTCAACTGTTGACAAAGTGCTACTTTGTATTTTCTGAAAATGCAGTCATAACATTAAGCCTCCTTTTTTTAATTTGTTTAGTAAGTTAAAATATAAGGAATATGTGGTTTATCAGTCTTTTTCAAATGGTCAAGCAAGTGGTGTGTTACAGCCATCTAGTCAACAGCGTTTTTGTGTTTATCATCAATGGCTGATGTGTCTTAAATATGAAGACAAAATGTGTCCAAGTAAACGGACTGCAAAGATCAATCATCTTTAAATTGCCCAAACTGGCAACTTTATTGAGGATAGAAATATGTATATGCACAATAATGAAGCTATATCCTATCCGGGTCTAAAAAAGGGCATAATGAGTCGGGGTGGAAGACGCTTAATGACACAGACTAAAGCATTAGACACTGATGGTGTCATTCAAATTTATAAGTGTCTTAAGTCAGTATTCAAAACCAAAGTCCAGAGATGCTTGGTCTGCATTGACAAAGTCATCTGACAAGGATTATTAACTGTTAGGTTGAAACTGTTTAATGGTTAGAATACAATGTTGGTGTAACTCTTAACAAGTCAGAGCCAACAGGGTGGCAGGCGAGAGAGTCGGGCTAGCTGAGCGGGAGAAAACACTGATTAGTAGCTGCATGCTGACTCAGGAGCTCCACTAAACCAGCCACATGAGAAATGTCTTTCATCTCTGAGGCAGGAGCCCACAGGCCCTGTCCACAACAAAAGCACACATACAAACATAGGCACATACAAGTATGTGCACACACACAGCCAGATTTAGTTTGCTTACATCTGACACACAACTGATGCCTATGTCATGGTCTGGCCTTGGCAGAATAACCACAGCCAAAGATATTATATTAATTGCTTTTCTTGAGAGGAAAACTCTCGGTCCTCTCCAGCAGTAGGTAGTTTATTAATGCACAAAGAAGCTATTAACCTGATATTCTTCTGGGCTGCAATTCATAAATAGAAATGAATTGCGTGTATCTGAGTGTTTTGGGAAAAATAGGCTCACATGTCAGTATACAGGGTCAACATATCAAACATCCCGACTCAAACAAGAAGTGCCTGTACTCACTCACTAAGCTCACCCACATTTACACAGGGATCAACGTGTCTGTACTTTCCCTGCAGCAGAGATGGATTCATATGACGTACTGCATCCACGTTTACAACAGAGAGTAAAAACATACCATACCGTTTGCTCATACATCTCAACTTGCTGTCAAAATATACAGGTACACCTAAACATAGCAACTGTTGCTGTGACGAGGTGTGGTAGGAACCCCTGGCAACGCTTAGGAAGAGGACGATCCAAGCTTAAACATGACCGGAGGAGTGCTTTGTTATTAGAAGGTTTTGCAATGGGCAGAGCCAACATTGGAAAAAGATGACATGTCATTCACATTGGTGAACTGCATGCTTTGTGGAGAAGCAAAACCAAGACGTAGACACAGAAACATTACAGCACTCACATATACTTGCTAAATACACATATGTTCAGTAAAAGGCCTTAGGATGTAGTGAAACTGGAAAAACACGAGTGACGCCAGCTAATCCACATAGCTAGACTGGTTTAGCCCAAAATGCTGAGCGCTTATCAGCCCCATCTTTCTCCATACCGACAAGAGAAGTCAGAGCCTTTCTGTGTGAAACTTGGTAACTACAGGCAAATGTGTTCACTTAGCAGCAGGCCCACAAATGATATGCTTAGTACTCACAACCGGCCTCAGCCTGGATCTCTTCCATGCTATGTCTCCAGCTTGGGTTCATGGGAAATTTGTCAGTGTTTCTCTGTGTGTGTGTGTGTACTGGAGTGTAGCGAGTATTACAAAGTTACACAGACATTGTTTTTGTGTGTGGCTGAAAGCTGGGTGTAGCTTCCTTATGTTTTGTAATAAAAGTAACTGAACTTCAAATGTCAAAATCATAATTATGTTGTTCTTTTCAAGATGTTCAAATTCATGCTGTTATATTGCAAAAAAGGTATTGTAGGTGTTGCACCACACAGTAAGTATGATGACTGTTAAGGGATTG